CTTCCTGAAATACGAGCCCTGATTCTTATTTGTATTATGTTTTGATGTAAAGCAGATTTATATTGTTTTAACTGAGGTGTAAAAGAAGCTCATCCCTACAATGGTATGTTACAGCTCTTTGAGATTGGATAGAATAAAAGTCACTGGAACACACAAAGAGTGCAACTAATGGAGTTTTCTTTTCCTGAATTTCTGGCATGTAGGATTTCATACAATTAATTAGCTGCTATGGTACAAGAAAATAATGGGGCTGCATGGGAGAGTTTTCTGTGCCAATCATAAGCAATAGTAAAACTGAGGTAACTTGCCTTTCCTTTTGTGAAGAGTAATACACTTCAGGAACATTTTACTTTTTGATTTTTTTAATATGAAACTAGAAGACTGGTTTGGGTTATCTTTGTTCTCCACTTACAAAATAAACCAGTTGTAAGGAAAAAGTAATTCTGTAAATACTCTGCAGTCTAAAAATGTATCCAGTCAGTTTCAAAATGGACCACAGATAAGAACTGTAGAAGTGTTGTTGGATGTGATTTCCTAATGCTGGTTTTCCAAGACCAAAACAGCATACAAAAATAAACTGTGTATCCTCAAGTTTTATTGTTTTCAGCACTTCATATGCTTCAGTCTGTAGACAAAGCAATACAGGTTCCCTACCAGCATGCCGCATGGAGTCATCATATTTAGGTAACAGCTTTTCAGAAATGCAGCTGAGGCAGTGTGGGAATCTGCTTAGGAACTTTGTTACAAGGTGTGATTTGATTTCAGTACCTCTTAGGTATGTCTTGTTACTGAAGTACGATCAGTGACTTTTTAAGAATGACTGAAATTAGTAATAGAGATTGCTATATGTGATTATACTTACAGTGTGTGAGGATATGTTTACTGACAGCTTTGGTATCTTTGGCAATGGAAAATAAGCTTCACTGCTTTAGGCATGGGAATTTAGCATTAGTGATATGGGCATTGATTAGCAGAACTGGACCTTAGAGTTTAACCCCTACCTCTATAGTATGTACAGCCCATGACATGACTTTTGAACACCATCATTGTGCTTCAGCAATGTCCTCCAAATGTACAAACTGAAACAGTTTGTGCTCTGGACTCAGCCATAAAATAAGTAGTGATGCATCTTGGATTTTGTAAAATACAGTTTACCAACTTTGTAAAAGGTGAATTAGTATTTCGCACTGCCTGGCCACTGTGGCGAAGCTGTGAAACTGATCTGTGCAGCACCCAATGTAGTGTAGTGTGTGGGGACCCATGCGATGTGTTTTTCAACTGGTAAGTTAATATTATAATAACATATGAAAAATTCATATTCAAATGAGAATTTCTGCAAAATATGAACCTGTGAGAGTATTTAAAAAGGTTACTGGTAGATTCCCTAAGCACAAGTTTATTCATCTGTCTTAGAAATGGTGAAAAAAACCCTATGAGGAAAAAGAGGAATAAATCTTATTGTAACATGAGCACCAGTTTATATTAAATCTCTCATGAATATAAAAATAATTCAGCAAGGTGGCAGTAATGATGCTTACTGCTGCCACTTAGTGGAGCCATGCCTTCCTCCCTTAAACTAGAAAAAATATTAATAACACTTTTTGTTACAGTTGGTAAGAAACATCCATGTGTGCAAAAGTATAGGAGGAGGCAGTTTTTCAGTGGTGCTGGGTACTCAGAGTTCTTGTGTAAGAGCTGTTACACGATGACAAGAGGCATTTAATACAGGAGGAAAGCCCTTCAGGTGAGGAACGTGTACTCTTCCTGTTGCCTCACAGATAAAACTACCACATCAAGAAATAAGTAGCTTCAATGCTAATAGAATAACTAACTTCAGAATGGAACTTCGGCAGCCTGCAGAAATTCCAGGCATAGAAGATCATGGTTCTCCACCAGTACAGAAGTTGAAAGGATGAATTTAGCAATTCAAAATGGAAAACTATCTTAAATTGTATGTGCTGAGCTACTGATGGTAAGATTTCATATTTATGTAACAAATAGACTGTGATGATGATTATGATGATGATGATTTCAGGTATCTCTATCATGTATGAGGTGCCTGAATACATTTTTATTGGGAAGAGAAACATCCTGTGATGACCAAGATCAGATCGATATAACTCAACAAAACTTATGCCTCTATGCAATACTTTTGATCCACCTCTTCAGGGCAAAATAGAAATCACTCCAGTGCATGCAGACATAAGTTTAAAGGGACACTGTTTTTAACAGAATACCTGTGGTGGTGTCTTTCACCTCACCTTCTGCTTCTTAGCTTGCAGGCCAAACACAGATCATGAGAATGAATTCATTGGGTGCTACTGCCAGAAAGAAAAAAATATATATTGAAATGTAGAAGAGTTAATGTTATCTGTACCAGCAGAAATTAATTTTTGCTATGCTCTCTGAGTGCAATTGAACATGCAGCAGCTAATAATATTTAAGTGATTGAAGACAAATATCCAAACAGCAGAGAAAAAGCATATACGTTTTCAGGTAACACATGAGAGAAACCAGCCTAGATATGTCTGTTAGCTTATGTCTAGATAAGCATTGTTCATATCCACGCATGTTTCTCCCTGTATAGATAGCACAGATAAGCTAATGCTGCAGAATTTAGGACTGAGATCAGTGCTGTGTTAGTACACAGGTGAAACTACAGTGAGTCATGAAGCTTATATTTATCCTTTCTAGAGGGACAACTGAAATTAATACAGCACGTATCAGCTCCACAATATTCTGGTACTACTAGGCAAAGCATCGTCTGTTCTATGGCTAGTGCATAGCAAAGTGGGAAAATATGCCAGACAGCCAACACAGCTTCACCAAGGGCAAGTCCTGTCTGACCTACCCAGTGGCCTTCTGTGATGGGGTGATTCCATGAGTGGGAAAAGCAGGAGCTACAGATGTCTTTTATCTGGATTTCTGTAATGCTTTAACATGGCACCCCACAACATCCTTCTCTCCAGACTGGAGAGAGATGGATTTGATGGGGAGACTGTTAGGTGGATAAGGAATTGGTTGGACAGTCACATTCAGAGGGTGGTGGTCAGTGACTCAGAGTCTCAATGGACATCTGTGACAAGTGATGTCACTCAGGAGCACATTGGAACCTGTGCTATTTCATATCTTTGTTAATGACACAGACAAAGGGATGGAGTGCACCCTCAGCAAATGTGCCGCATGGTCACATCCAGAGGGTAGTGGTCCACTCAGAGTCAACAGCTTAGAGTCCCAATGGACACCAGTGACAAGTGGTATCCCTCTGGGGTCTGTACTGGGACCAGTATTATTTCATATCTTCATTAACAACATAGATATTTGATTGAGAACACCCTCAGCAAATGTGCCAGACACCAAGCTGAGTGGTGCAGCTGCCACACCTGAGGGATGGGATGCCGTCCACAGGCTCAGCAAGTGGCCCCATGGGAATCCCATGGGGTTGAACAAGACCAAAGCAAGGTGCTGCACCTGGGTTGGGGCAACCCCCAACACCAACACAGACTGGGGGATGCACAGATCAGATTCTACTTTTTTTCTGCAAATCAGATTTGGCAGTAAGTGAGTGAGGGAATTCCAGCACAATGCTTGTCAACAATCATACTCCATCCCAGATCAATGACCCAGGTTTGGACTGTATCCTTTTCTGTGTGTTGGCCTGTTTCCTAAATGGTCTTTTCTCTTCCATGTTCTGGATATTGGCAGGAGGTTACATGACCTTAAAAGAGACATGGCACAGAAGTGCCACCCAGAACAGGTCAACCACCCAGAACAGGTCTCTTCAACATGTATTTCAAGTAATTGAGACAGTGAAGGGATTGAGAAGTGAGCACATGCTTTTCTCAAGCCTTTTCCAGTTAGGCTCATGCCAAATCCATGAGGCAATTCCCACCAGACTGCACAAACCAATGATTAGGAGGCAATTCCTGTACACCTCACAGACACCTGGATCTCAGGCATGCATGGAGGAGAGGCACTACACACACCCGGCTGTGTGTAGCTTGAGGCTTGTGCCTCAGACAGCACAGGGACCGAGGCTCCATGAGGTGGGCCCAGGTGCATTTGCCCCATGCAGAGCTGCTGCTGCCCCTTTTCTCCTCACCCTCCATCACTCATGCTTCCCAGTGTCCTGAGCTGGAATGTGCCACACGGCCAATGCCCTCCACCTCCTGTGGGCTCACCCCAGGCTTCACGCTCCCTCCCGGCCGGCCCTCGGGTCACACCTGAGTGCCCACAGAGTGAGGGCCTGGGCTGGGAAATCACAGAATCAGAGTCCTTCCTTGGGGTTGGAAGGGACATCTGGAGATCACTGAGGCAGGGTCAGCTACAGCAGGTTGCACAGGAACGCATCCAAGTTGGTTTTGAATATCTCCAGGGAAGGAGACACCATGACTTCCCTGGGCTGCCTGTTCCAGTTCTCTGCCACCCTCAATGTAAAGAAGTTCTTCCTCATGTTGAGTGGAACTTCTTGAGTTTTAGTTTGTGGCCATTGCTCCTCATCTTGTCACGGGGGACCACTGAAAAGAGTCCAGCACCCACCTCCGTCATATTTGTATGTATTGATTACATCTCCCCTCTGTCTTCTCCTCTCTAATTAAAATAGGCCCAGCTCCCGAAATCTCTCCTCATAAGAGAGATGTTCCTGACCTCTGATCATCTTTGTCACCACCCACTGGACCCTCCTCGGTCCAGTTCCTTATCTCTCTTGTCCTGAGGAGCCCAGAACAGGACACAGTGCTCCAGATGCGACCGAATAGAGGCAGAAGATCCTTCCGCTGCAGTGACACGAAGATACCCAAGTTATGAAGGGAGGCAAGCCGGTCTCTCCTCAGACACAACCTCGGCTTTACGGGGTTTGTTTAAGCCTCGCCGAAACCGAGCAGCGCCATTGACCCACCGCTCCCCGCGGCCGCCGCCAGGTGGCGCTGCCCCGCCGTCCCTCCCTCAGGCCCGCCCGCCGAGGGGAGGCGCGCGAGGGGCGGGGCCGCGCGGCTGCGTCCCGCCCCCTCGGCCGGCGCGTGCTGCCCGCAGCCTCCGCGAGCCCGCGGCAGCGCCCGGAGGGAGCGCGGGCCGGGAGGGACACGGGCACCGGGAGGGAGACGGGAGGAGAAGGCGAAGGCGAAGGCGTCCCCCTGCCGAGGGAGAAGCCCCGCGCCATGAGCCCCGACGAGAAGCCGCAGCCCGGTCGCTCCCGCGGTGACCGGCCGCCGCCACCTCAGCCCGCAGCCGGGCGATCCCGGCGGCGGGGCGGGCTGCTGGCGGAGATCCGTACGCCCATCCGCACGGAGCCCTTCCAGGAGCGGTACAGCCTGAGCCCCGGCCGGGAGCTCGGCAGGTGAGCGCTGCCTCCGCTGCCCGGACGGCGGGGGAAGGAGCGGGGCCGGGGGGTTGTGGCATCCCACCCTTGGGGGTCCCTGCCGGGGTAGAGCCGCGTCCGGCGGCATCCGGAGCTCTGCCCGCGCTGAGGGCAGCTGAGGGAGCTCCGAGGGCGTGTCCGTGGCGTTGGCTCGGCTGGAAGAGGGTGCTGGGAGGCAGCTGTACCCCGCAGCTGTCTGTCCCTCCTTCTGCTGAAGAAGTCATCCTCGGCTCCCCAGCCTTGCAGATCTGGCTGGGAAGATGCTGTGGTTCCCTGGGAGGCCGTGTGGAGTAGTGGATATTGGTCTAGATTTCCACTGGAGAAGAAAAACCTGCCTTTTTTTTTTTTTTTTTTTTCTTCTGAAAGTATTTATTATTTTCTCGAGCTTTGTAAGCTGTGACGTGGAAAAACAATTTTTACACTCCTTTGGAATAGCATATGCTTGAGAGTAATCTAATGGTGGAACTTTTCAAGGAGTTAAAATCTTGGGTTTGGAAGTGATTCCACATGTAAGATTTAGTCCATGTATCATTTCAACACATGACTGATAGAATGCAAGTTTTAGGGCAAAAAGTCTCATTAAAAGGTTTCTGCATCTTGGGAACTACATATATGGAATTTCAGCACCACTTAACCAACACTTTTGTCTGAAATTCTGTCACTTCCTATTAAAAGAATGATAGTGCTTCATCCAAGGACTGTTTCAATAAAAAAGATTAGATGGAATACCACCAGATATATGGAAAGATATCCTCCTCAATGTATGTTCTAATGCAGGTTATGCTCCCTGTGTACCTCAGTTTATACAGTGGCAAAATCAACCCCTTTGGAGCTAAGGAGGAGTTTCAAGGCAAATGCAGCTGCTGTCGGTACCTGTAACAAATATTTAGGCTGCCTAGGTGTTAGCTTAATGCTCACTTAAGAACTCTGATGTACCAGTAGAATAATACCTGTTTAAATATAGTGGTCTAAAGCATTCACATGGTAAGCAGGTGGGAGAAACATCCCATGGAATGAGAAAACTTTTTGTAGATTGTTGTGACCACAATGTCCAAGGCCTGGAAACTGAAGCTAGCTAAACACAGGCTACAAATCAGCCTAAATTCTAAAAAACAGTCCAAAAGGCATAGGTATCACTGGTATCACTGCTGTTTTGGTTTTTTTTTTGTTTGAAGTTCACATGATTTCAGAAAATATTTTGCAGTTTTTCCATAGAATGAGCATTTCCCTCAGAGCTGGGTGATAGTCACTGGCCTAATCAGAGCATGAAATACATTAAGGTTCTTTCTGGAACAAAAAAGTACAACTCAGATGATTTGCTTTACCCTAAGAGAAAGAATTAACTACTGCTTCAAGTCTTAGTCTGCAGTATAAACAAGTAAATAGCAGCATGGACTTTTGCATGGAATATTTTTTGAATATTTTAAGGATGACCTTCACGTGAAGGCTGTGATTTTGCACCAGTAGTTAAAATGAGTTAAGTGGCAGTTCTAAGTGTTTGTCGTTGTTTTGAGCAACAGTTGTACATATTTTTGGTTCAGGCTATCTCTCCTCAACTTCATGAGTGTTTTCACTATCTTCTCTTTTAGAATATAGAAATCTCTACATTTGAATGCATATGCTTGTTTTTTATTCAACAGTTTTAAATTTTGTTTTTTAAAAAGCAGATATTTCAGCTCAAATACTCCCATTAAAGACTATTTTTTGCCAACTCTGTGACAAAATGTAGGTGGAAAGTCTCTCTGCCACTTATAATTTTATTGATGATTTATTAGCACAAATTGTTTCACTTTTGTGTGTTCATAAATTATGTAATTCTCTCTTTATGGGTAGTGTTTTTCTTTACAAAGAACAAAGTAGCAGCCAGGTATGGCAGGTTTTTGTCTCCTATTAAAAGCAGTCCTTGTGCACACAACATAATCTATTTTAGCATTAAGATTTGGTAGAGAAAGGTTTATACACTCTGTATTAGTCCATCCCATTTCCAGAATTAGAAAAACAGTTTGAAAGCTGAATTTTAGGTAGGTTTGAAAATAACAACATTTGTCTGGATTGTGTTTAAACCTGAGAGCGTGGAGAAAGAAGCAAGTAGGTTTTTCACCTTTGCTGTGATCAGGGCTGCTGCATGAACTCAGCAGGTTTGTGCAGTCTTTGGCCTCCCATTCTGTCAGTCAACACATGTATCTTGAATGTCCCAGAGCACTTGGAGCCCCTGTTTTGTGTTCTCTGGGCTCCTGTGTTTGGAGGAGGTGGGAAGGAAGTGGAACATGGTGAAATGTTAAGGCATTGTAGTTCTGGTGATGCTGGGAGGAGTGGTACCAGGGCTCTGGCCCCACGTGGCACGTTAGGGAGCAAAAATCCTGGGGGAATCAGTCATGAAAGGCATGGATGAATCTAGGGGGAACTTGATCACACTGTCACCAGAGGTACACCGTGGGAAGTCAGGCTTCATTAGTTCTGCTCACAGGAGAAACAACTGCTTTCAGAATGTAGAGGTTATGTGCTTCAGAAGGTGTTGCCTCGTTCAGTAGCTGAACAGGCATTTGCAAGTCTGTTGAAACACAGCTGTTGGGAAAGCCAGGTTCACGTGGGAAAAATATCAAAAACTTTGTTATAATGGCCACTCAGGAAAGGAAATTATTGCAAGTTCCTTAACATGACATGGAAATAAAAGTTTTTAAATGAAATTATTTAATATATGACATTTTGGTCCAGTATTCACAGCCTTAATAATTTTACTGTCCTCAGAATCACAATATTCTCACACAAATCTGAACTTGCATGAGGTTTGAAATCAAACTACCTCCGATGATCGTTTTAAGGGTGCCACTTGTCATCACGTCACTGAGATTTAAATGTTTTCAGACAGTGCTAGCTTGAGTTAGGTTAGTTTGAAGCAGTGTCACCTTTGTGGAGGACAAGACACCAATTGCTTAACTCTTCTCCTTACCATTTGTGCTTAAGCCATAATTGTACTGTAAAATGGGCAACAATAAATTTTTTACTACCAAGAGCTTCCTTAAGGGGTCTGCTATAATTATATTTAGTTGCTTTGCTTGTTTCCTTAGAGGAAAAAAAACCTCCTAATTGCAGACAAAGTATTACTAGGCTATTAATTCTTTAGTTTGTTGATGGAATGTTGCACTCCTTTTTTTATGTGAAACAAGCTATGCACATATTGTAAGTCATCATTTGTGTACAGAAAATAATACTCTTGATTCTAGAGCTGGGTTAGAGGAAGGGATAAGTTGACTGCTCTGTCTTTCTTCTGGAAGGTAATGATCACCTTAAATGATTGATCCACAATAAAATTATCTTCTAGCAAAATGTGTGCACACATGTAAATATGTCCAATGCAATTCTGTTTTTTCTTCTCATTCCCTGTTTTTTCTTAAAGCATATAAGCTCATTCTCCACCCAAAGGTAAGAATAAGAAATATTGTAATCATTCAAGGAGTGTGAAATATTCTTTGTTCCTGACTAGTGATATGGCTATTGATTTTTTTTTTCCCCCCCAAAAGAACAATTCTGGCATGAACTCTTATTTCTTAGGTAGCTTTCAGTCATGTGTGTCTTAGCAGTACATGACACTTGTACTATTTTGTGCCATGACACTGCTGTCCTCAGCTGCTCTCTGCAGTAGCACATTGGGTGGAGTAGCTGGAGTGAAATAGCTGTGGAACTAAGCAAAAGTGGAAAAGAGGTGAAAATCAAGAGTTGCAAGTAGTTGGTTTTGCCATTTGAGAATAAATTTATGTGAGTAAATTATTCATGAACATCAGAAATGTAATCCCTGCACTTTGTTGTTTGGAAGTCCAAAATTGTCAGGGGAAAAAACCCACAATTCAGAAGAAATGTTTGATATGAGTTACATAATAAACTGCATATAGTATTGTGGATCTCAGAAAAGTTTTTTTCTGAACTTTATAAAAAGTAAACATCTTCACAGAAAGAATTTATTTCTGCGTTTATTACAGTGACAGAGTTTTATAGGTCACTTTAAAAATAAGGTTAGTTATTTTTAAATATTTAGTTAAGCTTAGTTATTTTTATATGTTATAATTAAATTAGTAAGGTTAGTTCTCTGTTATGATCCTAGGAAAACAAAAATTAATTGGTGTGACATAAATGTTGCTGTTTATCTGATTTGACATTTGATTTGTGATTTGACAATTTTCCTTTGAGCTATAATGTGTGCCTAATGAAACAATGCCAATTCTGTTGGCAATCTGAAAAGGTGACATTGAGCTTCTTTGTAATTAGATATGATTTATCTTAAATCATAATTCTTGAATGAGACTCTTGTGAGGACTGAGAACTATTTAGAGTTTCCTATTCTTGTCTCCCTCCAAAGCATTTTTATTTGTGATTGGATGTCTGTGGTCTGTTTTCAACTTGACAAATGCGCATTAAGATTTTTATCTCAAAATTCTTCTTCCTTCTATCAACGTTCTCGCTGCTGGCTCTTCTCAATACACTGAAGCAGCAATGATGTGATCTAACACTATTTTATATACTTTTTTATAATAAGTTCTGAAAAGCAGGACTTTAAGAAAAGCGAAGATGAAATGTATGCAATGTATACTTCATAAGAATGCTTGGTTTTATATGTCTTATCTACTATTCTGTCTCAATCAAAAAGAAATTCTTTAAAATTTATCTGTTGGCGTAACCATATAGTGGATGCTATCTTTGGATCTTCACTCTGAAATTTTCTCAGACATGAATCTAGATCACTGCACAGTAATTAGTTCTACTGGTTATAAACATCAGGTTTGTCAGGTTTGATCTTTTTGGGGATCATATTCAGAAAAGATGAGTTCTAACATGCAGTAGTTATAATAGCTCTAATTATAGGCATAACCAAAAGGAATCTTGGACAGGATTCTTGGTCTGAAACAATTTAGAATTAGTATTTGTCAGCCGTCTGAACTCCCGTGTAACCTGTCCTTTGAATGATGTCACCTATCAGGCTTCTGGCCAGCTCAGCTGAACAGGACATACGTGGCCACACACGGTTGTGGCTCTTGCCGTTTCTTGCTGCTCCATGAATCCTGTTTTATTTCCATAGTGACTAATGCACAGTGAATCGCAACATCGGTACTCATTAGGCTAATTAATTTGTTTCCAGATAGATTCTGTATGTAACTCAAAACAGCATGGTACTTGAAATTTGTATTATAGAGATTCCAAACTTTTTAAAGCCACTTTCTCTAGGTCCTTCCTGGTGCTAGAATTAAAAGCTTTTGATTGCACTAATGCAGCATTCAAGAGGAAGTACGCAGTGCATTCAGAGACTATACAAGGAAAACAGGGAAGGTTGAACCCAGGCAGGGACCTAGATTTATGGGTGTAAGGCTTAGTATCTGTCAGGTGTTTAAATAACTTGCAGTTAAAAAGCTTCTCAATTTATTTTTATATGTTGCTTTTTGACAACGTACTTACTGGTTGATTTTTTTCTTGAGGTGTTTTTTGGTGCTGAGAACTTGAACAAGTGTATTAACACTTTTGATAAATGCATAGCTTTCTATTGTACATAAATTTTGTGCTACAAAATTATCTTCATGCCTTTACAAACTTCAATAGTTTTGTCTTCATGTATGTATTAGTAATTAAGAACATTTTCCCAAAAAGTTAGGTTCAAGATGTTGAAAGCATATTCTTGCTGTTTGTCTACCTTCACCAGACATCTGGACTGTGCTGTGATCTAGTCTTCGTACATATTGTGCTGTAGAGAATGTACTTATGCAAAATAGTATTCCTAGAGGAATAACTGTGGCTGTATCAGTGGTTACAAGTCCAATTATTTTATTGAGATTGCCTAGCAAATACCCACTTTGTGGGTACTTATTGACTTGATTCATTTAGACTGTGTGATTTTGAAACAAATGCTTATTAAAAGCAAGCCGACCACAACTTTGTTTAGCAGTTATATTTCATGGATAACAGTCTTCTGCCAATAGACTGGGAGAATGAAATCTTTGACACAAGCTGAAGTAGTTAATTCTGTGAACTTCAGTTGGAGGTAGGAGAGGCAAAACCCATAGTAATTGTATTCCAAAATAGATGAGGACTATTATTTTGGTTTCAGCAACCCTGCAGTAAGTAAAGGACCAAAATAAAGATCTCAAAGCTATTCCTGCAGCTTTATAAGAAAATGTTTACATATAAATAAAAAAGGTAGTTTTGATGATCATTGTGCCTCTATGGTAAGAGCTAAAGTAAGGTTACTGTACTTCAAAGTGTGAGAATTCATCATTGCATTAGTGAGAGGTATTAATTAAAATACCTTTTTAGTCTAAAAATCAGCACTGTGTGAATGGAAGTGAGTGGAGCAGGTGGTGTGGGACTCTTGCAGGGAAGTTAAAAGCAGCTACTTGTGCCAGAGTGCTGTGGGGGAAGAGGTGTGACGCAAGCGCTGCAGTGTGGTTTGAGCTGACCTGGTTGATCATCAGGCGTGTGTTCTGCCGAGGTGACGCTCATTAATGTGGGCTAAGCACGCTGCTCAGCTCTCTCTGCTCTCGGTGCTCCTACTCACCTTGGCATGGCTGCAGAAATCTTGCTACAGAACTTGATTTTAGTCAAGCTGCTTCATTGTGTTTGCATTATCCAGGTTCCTTATTCTTAGTCTCACTGTATAAGTAGGGGGTTTTGAGAACTATTAATCAAAACACTCCAGCTGTTATCATTTGAGACATGCCATGGTGCAAATACCATCTTGAAAAATGCAGAGTATGGGTATTTGATGGCAAATGGAGCAGGATTCAATGAGGGTGCTCTTACCATGGATATATGGTGGGATACTTCAGAACACAGTAACTGGGTTACTGTGGGGTAGTCAGAGAAAGCATAAATTGCTCATTTGTATATTTTGATTTTGCCAGCTTTTTAAATTAAAGTTTGGAGGATAATGTAATCTTGGGAACTAGCTTGTTTACTCTATGTTTTTGAAAACTGTGAAAACTGTGTTGTTTAAATTGATGGGGTTTTTTAAAATTCCTTATATTTCATGGAGATTATTTACGTTCTGGGCTGGGGTGTTTTGAACACAGGGATCATCACTCAGCAAGGCATCTTTCTAAAGTCAGATTGAATCTTAAATGCTAATAGTGATTTGGTTCAAGTTTCCTAAAAAATTAATTTATAAAGGCAGTGCTAAAGCTGTCACTAAGGCATGTAAAACTAAATTCTTATTTAATTTCAGGGGAAAATTTGCAGTGGTGAAGAAGTGTATCCAGAAAGACACTGAAAGAGAGTTTGCAGCAAAATTCATGAGAAAAAGAAGAAAGGGCCAAGACTGTCGGATGGAAATAATCCACGAAATTGCAGTCCTTGAGCTGGCACAATGCAACCTTTGGGTCATTAACTTGCATGAAGTTTATGAAACTGCAACAGAGATGATTTTAGTCCTGGAATAGTAAGTATTAGTAATAATTCCTGAATAACTTTCTGCAGTATTTACTTAAAAATAATAATGTAAAAATACTGTGTATCAATGTGAATAATGTAAAAAAAAATTATTGGTTGCCTGTTACCCTTGCTAAACTTCAAGAAGAATTGCTAAGAAAATGACGGTTACAAGAAGTTATGTGCAGTCTCATAACTACTTCAGATTATAACAAATTTCTCTAATTATGTAGTATCTTTCAAAGCTGAACTATAATTTATGTAGTTAAAGCATCTTAAATGAGATATGAACTCTGTACACTCCCTGCATGAGGAAGGAGAAAGAAGCAATGAGTATTTGTTCAAGAACCAAAGTTTATTTCATTGACAGTGGCAAAGATGGAATGAAATCTGCTGTGGTTTTTTACCAGTTACAAAAGAGGTATTGAAAGCAACATCATTGCTAAAAAGAAACTACTAAAACCCTCTATAATAGAAAACTTGCTAAAACAGTATCTTTTTGGGGAAAGAAGGGAGGAGGATTGAGACTTAGAATAGTTTCTTTCAAAAAGACACTTGACTCTTCATTTGTGTGGTTTTCTCCACTTGAGTTTGTCCAGATGGGCATTCCTGCAGCTGTTGTGACTGCCCATCTCAAATGCCAGTGGCTTTAGATAGTAAGACATCTCGCTAGCTTCCAAGATTCAGCCAAATGCTTGTTGCTACTGAACTCTAAATTCTTGTTAAGTTCTATGGATTTTAAATAAATAAGAGAGGAACAGTGAGGCTCAATAGTTCAGAAGTGATTTGTTTGTTAAGATAAATCTAGTTTGTGCAACTCTTCTCTTACTTGATAGCAAAAAGAAATGTTAAGAAATCTTGTGTACCAATCACATCTTGTTTAGAAGTCAAAAGAAACTGTATCTTCAAAGTTCGGTGAAATGGAATGAGACCGTGTCTCCTAAGGCAAAATTCCTTCTAGAATACATTTTTTAAACTTCATTGTGCCCTTAATGATGTCATAATATGTGAAATATTCAAGTATCAAGTATTTATAATACATAGGTGTGACAGAGCTTCTGGGGTTTTAACTGCTGCTACTGAAGACTCATAAATACCTGCTTTAAATACTAGCAGAAATTTAAACTCAAATACAGTTTCATTTTCTAGATCCTATAGGTTTTAATATGAGCAGTGGAATCTAAATGAGCAATGAGTTTTGTGATAATTTCAGTGCAAAATTCCTAGTTTTCTTTTAGAACTCAATTTTCTTACAGTTGCAAAACTCTTTTAATATGAAGTATTAACTAGGTTGTTAAGTAATTAGCAAAATTACTGGGTTTATATGCATCAAACAGTCATACCTTATTTCAGATAAATAGCTGTGTGCTGGAGTTGTAAATTACAAAAACAGTCTTTCCCTGACTTCAGCAAGTATGTCTGGATGCTTCTTTAGTGTTCCAAAGACATGTTGCAACAAAACAGGTATGAATGTTAGTGAATTGCTGGCATTCTGTATGCAGAGGATTAAAGAACATACCCAGACTGCAAGCTTCTCTAGGGCATTTAGTTTCTATTAAGCTTGATGGTCTTTGTGGCAGATCTTTATCTCCTGAAGAAGTGAAACAAATACTTAATCTTGGCCCTAACTTCATCAGGGGAGATTTTAAAATTTCTTGTCTTGATGTAAAAACTTTCATAAGGGCTGAGGGTTTTGCCTTCAGGAAATATTTTGCTTTCAGGAAGATAAATATTAATGTTACATGGAGGGTTGTCTTTCAAGCACTATCGATTTTTGAGAGAAAACTAACTTAAAATTGGCCATGTTAATATTAAGTGTTGAGCAGTGGGAAGCAAGGAGGCATTACAGTTTTTGCTTCAGCTGTAGCATAGCAAATTGGGGCTGTCTGCAGCCACCCTCACAACAGTCTCTGACTTTGGTTTGTTGTCATAAGACCTCCATCAGGGTATTTAAGTCAGAATTTAAGGGGTATGTAAGTCTGAAGGGTTAACAGAAAGCCTGGAATTAATCTGTGGGTCAGTTATGTTTCTGTATTTCACTGAAAATGGAATGAAAAGAACCTGGAATTTTGCTGAAGAAGGTACAGATAGTCTGGGAGACTTGACGTATCAGGTATAAAAAGAAAAAGCAAATTTGGCAACTTTTGACTTGATATCAATTGTATGCAATTGTATTGTATGCAATCTACCTGTCATCTTCCCATTTCTTTTGAAAGAAAGAGCAGTAGAGCATCTGATGCTTAAAAACTGGTCTTTTTCTTAAGTGTTCATCACCATGTTTTTACACATCTGGGGAAGGGATAGATGATACTAGTGGGTAATTAGTGGGTCAGATGTATAGAAACCTGTAAGTGGAGCTTCAAAAATCTTCATCATTAATATTTTGTTATGAAGAGTCTGTGAGCTGAGCCAGAGCCTTGTGTAAATACAGTAGACTTCTGTTACGCTTACTTTAAAAAGAGGAAGAAGTTGTCTCATCCTGAAGACACAGTTAGTATATATTTGATATGCTGGATGAAGTGGTTTTTCACCTGTTATTTGGACCTGGATAATGTAATGGACTTATATAGTCTTGGACATGATTTATTGTCCTCCTTACTGGAGGTGTGACTGGTTAAAATAAGAGTCTGCTGGCAGGAAGTGATCCATTTGGCATAGGATTCAACAGACTGAACTTGAAGCAAACCCACTGTAATCACAAATAACTGCTGCTCCAATGTTTGCATCTTGTCTGAGTAGCAAGCGGAGTCATTCTAGTTAGCAGTCTCAAATCAAGACTGGAAGTCTAAAAACATTTTAAGGGAAAACTTTTTGAATGGTCTTAGTTACCTTTGTTTGTGTTTCATTCAGTTCTTGGGCTGCCTGATTGGAAAAGTGAAGGCAAAAAAACTAAAAGCATTTGTCTGAAAACTGACAACTTTTAAGACCAGTATCTACAATTTTATGTATTTGGATGCTTCTCTTCCCATGTCCTCTCATCAGATATGCATTTGTAATTTTCTCAGGCTTTAGGAACATTACATTGCCTTACACGGGAAAAATTACCAGTAAGTGCACTTACTATCCAATGTATAGCCTAGCCAAGGAAAGAGGTATGGCTGTCAGCAGCAGTGAGTATGAAACTTTGCTGGTAGTGTTACAACCACTGTGGTATGAACAGCTTGTACTGTAAGGTCCATGTACAGAAGGTAGAGGACTTTCCATTTTTTTGCAAAGATAACTCTTTCAAGAAAGACTTTTGACAGACTTGAAGACTGAGGAAGTAAATTTTTGTCCATTTTGTCCATTGCAGAATGTATATAACTCAGCATTGAAATCAAGTGTATTTTAGGAATTGGGCTACATACTTGTACTCTGGTGATTTGTACTTCTGCATTCTTCAGAACAGTAACTTAATGTCTGATCCATTAAAGCTGGGGGAATGGTTCATTTCTTCAGGTGCCCTGAAATAGGTTTGTTCAATCTTTTTCTAATGATAAGTTAAATGACTGTGTTAGTGTCTCCTAAGTGTACTTGAAAGAAGTTCAATGCTGAATTTCATACAGTTCATTGTTAAGATATATTTCAAGGAAGATAAGTAGTCTCCATTTAATCTAAAGTCAACATAATTGTAACAAAGATTAGTTCTCTAGACTTCCAAATGACCTTTAGCTCATTTATGCTGCTAAATAGTAATAAAGTATTAGCATGCTTTTCATTGATGAAGAGTAGTTGGATTTCACTTGAGGCAAGAGAAATGAATGGCACAACAGTACTTTCATAAGTAAATTAAAATAGCTAAAGAATTATGGTTGCCATAGCTTTCAAGTTCAGAAAGCCTTATTTTTCTCACAATTTTTTCAATACTTAGCTAAGGGAGAGTGTACTAGAGAAATAATGCATTCTAAAAAAACTGGATTTCAGAATGTTTTTCCATTAAATATATCCTTATCAATATTTTTTTTTCAGATTTAGATGGCTTGTTTTCCTAAAAACCTTGTTGTCCTAAGGATAATTCTTTGCTTTTATCCCCTAAGAGCTTTTTGTGGCTGGCCCAGTCATTTCCTAAGTTATTTCATAATGACAATTAGAAAAAATACAATTTAATGAAAAATGGGTAAATATTATTAACACTAGAGAACTCCTGGTCTGCATATGTACAGAAATCATAACAGTAACATGCCTGTGATACTCTCTTAGCAGGTATTTTGAGCCCTTCTATGGTTAGATTTTTTTCCCCCTGAAATCTAGCTGAGGAATATAAAATAGCTGAGTTGAAAGTATTTTTAAGGAGCTTGATAAAACTTGGAATAGGTGTGCAGGAGGATCTTTTTGGAGTTAATTTTTTGCATTGTGCTTCCAACCACTTGTGACTGGCTTGGCTCACAGCTCCCTGACTGTTTTGCTTAAGGGAATTCATTAAGCTCTCTCCACGGCAACAATACACAAAATGGTCTTGCAGTATCAAATTTCCATGTGTTCTTGTAAAGGGTTACTGGTTACTGGTTTGAATGTGGTATTCTTTGGACAAAATGAATTGTCCAGAAGGAGTTGTTCTATCAGCCTCCTAAATAGCAAAGTTAAGATCAAAAAACAAAACATTGCATGGGAGGTCACCTTCCCATGTGAAACTATTTTGTAGAGCCAAGTGTCTATGGTAGCTAAGAATGGCAGTGTCTCGTAAGTTATGAAGTGGGTGTGCATGTGTGAGGGTTGTATTTGCATGTCTCACTCTTAAAAATGCTGATGAACCCAGGCATCTTCAGAAGTATAGGGAGAGACTTAATTTTTTTTCTTTTTTTAAAGAAAGTGTCTGGATCAAGGGTTTTCTGCTCTCACGTTGGTAGCACTGTCTCTTGATTTCACTGATGGGACATTACTTCAGCTTTTATTGCATGACTTCTAACACCTATAATTGAGAATTCTTTAGGTGTAATATTAAAATTCTAGGTAGCTTACATTTTAGCATTGGTGTCTACCTCAGTTTTAATTAAGTTACACTAATAAACAAATTGTAACAGATGCCTACCAAGTAGACATATAGCAAGCAGGGCTTTATAAGGGCCCCCACCCTCAACTTCCACTGTTTTTTCAGCTGGGTCTATTAAATGTAAAGTGTGATCCTATGTTTTGGGTATAAATCCTATTTCACAGAATTAAATAACAGAAGTATTTTTTCCTTATTTGAAGTGGCAGAGCTTTACCAGCAAAATCCCAGGGTTATTGCTATAAAACACACTGTGTTAGTAATTTTGGTAGTAGATCTTATCGCTGTATGTGCACTATAATTCACTGCTACAAGGAATTAAATCACTCTTCAAGTAACATATTATGGCATTCTTAAGGCAGAAAGTATAATTTATGGGTTGCAGTAGATATTTTTCTATTCCTATCTGGAAAATCCAAGTGATGTTGCTTTTTCAAGGAATTTGGCTTAGGATATTAGAATACACTAGCTGATGTTCATTTTTAAAAAGTCATTAATATTTGAGTCCTGTTCAAAACTGAAATATTACTATTTCCATGAATTAAATAAAAATGGACTGAAGAAAAATAGGACAGTGTCAGGCATATGAAATTTTTCAAAAAGAATTATAGTATTAATAATCCCTTGAAAAACTCATTTTATTATTGAGCTCTATCTCTTGGTACATAAAGAAGAAAAATAATTATTTAATAGATGGTTTTTCTGAAAGAAAATCTTAGTTTAATAAATCAAATTGTACTGCTGTACCAGCTAGCCAGCAGCCACCATATAGAACAGAAGTTTAAAAGTTTAAAACTCTTTAGAAAAGGGTATGATTTAACCTTCTTTTAAATTCTTTTTTTTTTTTTTTTAAGACGATCTGCAGGGAAAATTTAAAATAATAGCTGTGAGAATACCTTGGAGGGCAAAAACCTTTTTTTTTAATTCATGAGGCTTTCAGAAAGTACTAGGACTGTAGCAGCAAAGTTAGTGTAGGCAAAATGAACATTTGAATACATTTAAGTGGTTTTTTTTTTCTGGGGGTACACAGTTGAAATGCACCATTTTTGTATAACTCATTTGCTGTTACATTCATGTTGAATGTGCCTGTCTTCAGGATAGCCTAGGGAGTACAATTCATTGGAAAAAAGCAAGCAGAGGCAGAGTAGGTGGGTATGCATCATGCAAAGTAATTTTTGCATGTCAGTTTGGTGTAACTGGAGAGGATTCTGCCCTTGAGGGTTTCACCACCTTTCCCTAACGGGTGATTATAGAATTTCATGCAGAACAAAGGGTGTGTGTGCTGATTTCATAGTAGGAGTTCAACAATCCATATGCAAAGTGGCCCCATTCTAACATTCTTATGCCCATTCTTATTTTAAGATGGAGATTCTGTTCAGTTTATTTTGCTTTTGATGCTACAGGTTTATATTGTAGAACAATTTTAGTTATCTAGAGCCATTGCTATACAGAGCGGGTACTGCATGTGGCTTCAGGGTACTTTAAAAACATTTATTCATATCTAGTTATTTTTATATTTTTTGTTATTCTGTTATTTGTTTAAACATATACAAAAGAGGATGGAAGCTGAGAGCTAAAATTTTCAGAGCTATTTTTAGATGAAAGAAATTTAGAAACTTAATGCATCCCTGTATACCAGAGACTTCAAAACAATTCAGTTGCAGACTTAACATTTATTCTTTTAAGTATGTGCAAAGCATTTTCAGGAGGGTGGGAGGTGGGGTGGTTTTGCTCTATGTTTGCTAAAATTTGCCTTGGCCAAATTTCCACGCAGTTCTATAGAAACTACAAAAGACACAACTTTTATGAAAACACTGTCCTCAAATAATTGTGGCTTTCATCTGAAAGCGAAGTCAGTAGTGTTTCAAAAGTAGTCCCTAAAATTTCTGTACTATTCATATTCTCTAACCTAAATGACTAAAATCTGTGCTCTCTCCAAAGCTGCCATACTGCAGAAAAGACTTCCAAGGCTGTAAAACCTTGCCAAATGCCTAATAACTCAAAATATCATGATTGGATTATACCTCCTGCTGATATTGCCTATACAAAAATAAAGTGTGAGTAGAGCCAAAGGGGTGCTATAATTTAGTTAGAACTAACTATATTCCTGCTGTCCACAGTGCTGCTGGAGGTGAAATCTTTGACCAGTGTGTGGCTGAAAGAGAGGAGGCCTTCAAAGAGAAAGATGTTAAGAGACTTATGAAGCAGATATTAGAAGGCGTTTCATTCTTGCACAGAAACAATGTTGTTCATCTTGACTTAAAGGTAAGATTGGTACTGTATTTTTCTTATTGATTTCTCATCTGTTGACTTTCTTGCTTATGTCACAATAACACCAATTTGTAATTAACACAATTTTACCTAATTATACCTTGAATGATAAAATTAAACTTTTGGGATAGAGTAATCACCAGGTCTGCAAGCATGTTGGGGGTGATAATCACATGTTGGGTGATTAGGTTAAATATAAACTTCATTTGATGAAGTGAAATGTAATCTCTTCAGAAGTTTGCCTTGCACCTTAAATTGCAAATGAGTGCTTTGGGTAAGACCTGACTTATTTCGACATTGCACTAAAAATGTCTGGGTATTATATGGCCATTGAAAACCAAGTTTGTTTTTCGTATTGACTTGAGTTTTAATGAAGAAGTGTGGTACTGATACTGGTGGAATAAAGTGTAATGTTTCAGAATGAAATGTTCAAACAGGACTGGTAAATTAATGTGTTAAGTACATTTATAGCATTTTCTTCCTTTTTTTTCCCCAGTTACTGTAAAATCTAATTTAAATGTCTGTCATTTGCTGCCAAACAGTTGACTGACACCCTGTAGGTATATAAATTATCATGATTTACTGACACAAGTATTTTTTCTTGTTGAAAAATAGTTTTGACCCAAATCAAGTGACAAGTACGGTTGCCATCATATGAAATCTTATGGTCAAGAAGGGAGTTGTAACGGGGATGCAGAGAACTAACCTCTCCAATGGGCAGCAAGCTCCAGTTTCTTTAGCTTCCATCCCTGCACTTATATGGAAGATACAACTCTATCTCATTATGAGGTTGAAATAGTTTATTACTAAGCAAGGGAGTCTAAAAAGTTACTTGCATTACATTTCTTAAAATGCTTTTTACATGCCCTATTCTCTTATTTACTAAGTATATTGTAAGCTGCTGCATGTTTGTCCTGTTGCTGAGATCTTTACTTACACTTAGCTGTATTTTGGCCCTACTATAAAGCTACCAGTAGATTCCAGTATTAGGCTGTATGGACTCAATATATTAATTTAGCACGTCATGAACCATTCATCAACTAATGCAGATGAATCATATTTGCACACAAATATGTCACCTGCCTGGTTTTCCAAACATTTATTCAAATTATATGTGGAATTCTTTAAAATTTTGATTGAGTCATACACACAGAATATTAATAATTATACTAAAAGAATTAATGAAATATTTTTAGTAAGTGTTGTGAGAGTGTGTTCAAAAAGACTAAAAATGAGCAGTTAGAATTCCTCAAAGTTCCAGTATGCTTAAACAAGATACTCAGTGTCTCAATGGCTGGCTATTTAATTTCCTTGAAGGAAAATATGTAAAATTAAATGTTTTTTGTGGACAGTATATATTTGTACTTGTTTGTAGTTATAGTTGTGATGTTTCTTAGCATCTCCAGCTGGATATCTGTAACTGGAAATGTGATGTGTTTTATATGACTACAGTGCAAAAGTAGACTTGGGATGTAGATTTTCTCCAGAAAAGAAATTCGTAAAAAGCTTACTTAAAAGCTTCCCAACTGGTCAGAAAACTTATGCCATAATATGGAGCATGTGCAGTTCTCGGCAGAAAATCCAGCATTGTTTTGCTGCCTTACAGAAGTTCATTAGCAGAGGAAATGGTGTAGTGATGGAGGTTAATTTACGTGTTTATACATTACTGCAGTGTGCAGTGTGTGTTTAACCGGAGTCCTACTCACAGTGTGATGACTTTCATGATTTATAAAATTATCAGTCTTTTGCAAAATAAGGTTTATGGAAGTCTTCAGAGTATTGACAAAAATTATGGAAATGGTAGAATTGTAAGTCATGACTTGCAAAGCATTAATTGCTTCACATGCCTTACAAGACTTAAAATAGGCCCATTTTTGACAGAATTCAAAAAGTTGGGTGCTTGCTTCAGCCCATATTTATTAACCCACAGTTCTCATCTTCTGTTGTATCCTGTGTCTCATGCTGCTTTAACTTGCAGCTTAAAGCACAGTGGAATTTACTAAGTACTTTGATTGTGATTACATTTGGAAGACTTCTGTGCATTTACTGCTGCTATGCAAGGTGGTTTCCAATAGCAAATTTTACAAATTCTTGCTAAAAGGGGGATTTTTGCACTATTAGTTTCACCTTTCTGTCTCTAAAGATTTCCATTTCATTTTTCTGTTACAAATTCCTTTGGAAAGGTCCATCCAATTTTCCATATGTTGCACCTTCAAGAAAAGTTAAATTTCTACACCCAGAAGAATTTAAACCCAAGTGGTTGTCCGTATGTAATTGTCAGATCAATATTTATATTATAAATGTAATGAACCAGATCTGTGACATTGACAGCTACCTTGCTTTAGCTTCTCTTTGCCCTCTGAATAGATACAAGATTTTTCTTGAGACTAAACACTGCAGAAAGAAATGGGGTATTTTGATGTGCCTTAGGAAGGTTGTCACCTGATCATTTCTTTCCAAAAGCATGGTTCTACTGAAAGATGGTTGAAATGTGTCTTTTTTTAATAGCAAAATACAATTATGGAGTCTAGTTTTGACTTGGATGAAGGGCTATAAATATAATGCTACCAAGTGCAAATTAATTATCACTTGACAGTATTGTGTTGATGCTATTTAATTTGCAGGGTGTGCACAGATTGTAGTCAGGAGTCTTTCATCTCCTCTTAATGGTGCTTAAAAGCTGCAGAGTAAGGGAAGTCTCCTTTCTCTGTGTTCTCATTTGCTCTTTGACTTAATCTTGAATCGGTCTTAGGTAAAAGCTTACGGTGGTTGGGAATGGAAGAGAATTTAAGCAGGCATGGGGTCTGAGGAAGAAGATATGGGGGTCCTCTACTTTTTTTAGAATCAACCTAGTTGAGTATCTTTAGACATAATGAAGCTGGGGTATCTCAGCTAGTCTGTTTTTCCTGTTTCTGACCACTATTTCTTTGATAATTCCTGTCTTTTCTTCTAGGCATCTGAGGTTTTTTGAATATTATATCATTAGATAACCTGCACCATTAATTAAATTAGGTAAGGTGAGGCATTGATTAGATTAAAAACCTGACCTTTATTATGTGTCCTTAGTCTTTATGTGACTTCTTGAAACCAACTAAATACACAAGAAATAATAGGATCTAAATGTAACCTTTAAGCCTTGCTGCAGTAGAGGGGGAGGTCTTCAAACATTGCCATTTGATGGTTTTCATCAACAATTTCAGTAGTGCTTGAGGGTAAAAGTGAAAGGCCCTTTTTAGAATGGCCACCAGTAGAGCCTCCAGCCAGAATCTCCTGTCTGTGAGCTGACTGGCATTAGGCAAACTTAGATGTATTCTAACAGAGTAAAAGCAAAAGAGAAACAATATTACAGATGTGAGGAAATTATCTTCCTTTTCTGAAAGTTTGAGTAATGGTGTCAAGCTGAAAACTATGGTGAGTTCAAAGCTATGGCTTCTTTAAGGTTTCGTGTTGGCATTTAGGCTGGTACTTCACAAGAATCCCATAATGATTCCTTAAAACAAGAAAATTACTGATATTTCATTAAGAATTGATTCAGAGTTATGACTCAATTTATACTGTAGACAGGGTTTTTTTCTGCAGAGGTGTGTTTTGCATAAAAAGATTTTTTAAAAAAGACAACAAAAAAAGGCAACTGCTTTATCTACTAAAATGTTAAAATACAGGGCTAAAGGGTTTCACAAAACTTGTCCATTGAAAACTTTCCCTCATTTAAATATAGAGAAAAAATACTTTTCTCATGCTTTTAATTTGACTCTTCATAACTCAATTTCTCACTGGGAATAACAACTGAAAGGGTAATGAGGAGGCATAATCAGCTTTTTTGGATGTTTGCTTTTCTAATGCAAATAGAGAATAACAAATCTGAACTATAAAGAATGTGAGAATGTGCCCCTCAAAAAGCCTTTTTATAGCCACCAGATCCCAATTTGTAAAGAAAATTTAAAAAGAGCTATTCTTAATACGTAGGTTTACAAACAGAAAATAAATTGACAACATCATGGAGTTAGTTTCAAATAACAGTTGAACTCTGCAGGAATCAAAAAACTTGACTATATTCAGGTCTTGCAGTGAGGAGAACTGAGCAAAGTTTTTTGAAATGTTCTTGCTCTTGAAATAAACCTCTTGCCCAGGTTTATTTCTGTATTCAAAAGCAAGGCTATTCATGTGAGAGCATGTCTTCATGAGTGACTCTGGGGATGGAGGACAGAGCAGCTCTGCGATGAGAGAAGGAGTATAAATGTTGGTGTTACTCCATCTGGATTATCAGTCAGTGGTTGCTTTGCTGTTCTTACTCTTTTGTCCTCCTCCCTTTTCAACCACTCTGATGCAAGATGGTCCAGGTTCCCAATAGACTTCTGCACTTTCATGGAGCTTGTGCTCACTAGAAGCATGAATGCAGTGCCAATTGTCAGCACAATCATTTGGAGAAGTTAATGATAAAACCCAGTGTGATCACTGGTCTGGGGGTTGGGAAAGTCAAACCTTCTTTTTTTTTTTTTTTTTTTTTTGGCAATGATATGCTTCAATTGCAAAAATTTTTCCTTTTTAAATTAAGCTAGCATTTAAAATAGTAAGGAACTTCTTAATGACCGCAAAGGTGCTGTGAAGGAAGACAGCCAAGATCTGGTGACGTCAGTGCAAACAAGTTTATCCAAAGGTGATGCTCTTAAAAACCTGTTTCTCAGGCTGCTATATTTTTTTAAAACTCCTCTTCAGTTAGTATTCTGTAATAATTGTTTGTACTTTGAACAGGATTCAGGTTGGTTGCAACAGACCTTTAAACAGGTGCAGTCAAAATAGTTGTTCAAGGTTTTTAAAATGACTGGGTGATTTTGGACCACCTTCAGAGGGAGGTATTTTACACCATCTATTGGAAGTAGCAAGGAGCAAGAGGAGTAAAAAAGGTGATACAAAGGACTAGAGAGGTACAAGTGTGGAGGTACTTACCTGCTACTGTTAGTGACAGCTGTTGGCATGTATTTCCATTGTGTTCTAAGCTAACAAAGATTTGATTCTCCATTCTAAATTTATAATCCTGCCATTCCTTTTAGCCTACATGTCTCTTCAAAATCACCTTGGGGGAAAGAGATAAATGATCCAGGGTGTCATACTTGTTACAGGAGGCACTGTTGTTGTTCATGGCCTAAAATAATTATGCAATATGATGTTAAAGACATTCGGTTTTTTTGGTGATCCCAAAAGTCTCCTCCTCTTGTTTTTCAGCCCCAAAATATTCTGCTAACCAGTAAGTCTCCTCTGGGAGACATTAAGATAGTAGATTTTGGCCTTTCCAGAATAATGAAGAGCAGTGAGGAACTAAGAGAAATCATGGGAACTCCAGAATATGTGGGTAAGTTGTTACTATAGGAGTGATGAATAGTCCAGGTTTCTGGAGAGTGAAAAGAGGATTTGGAGCATGCCAGCCTGGCTGTGTAGTTACAAGATCGAGTCGCAAGATCGAGTTATTACTTGGACGTGGTACTGCTGCCAAAGGTAGAACTGGCAAGTCTTGCCAGTCTAATGAACTATCATTGTGTGCTTGAAGATGAAGACACTTTAGATGAGTCTTACCAGCAGTCATAACAAGTATTACTTGGATTAAAAGTTCAAATTCACATACTCAGTCTCTGAATACAATATCTTAGCCAGTGTAGGTTTTCTCTTTTTTTTAAAAAAAAGCCCAAACCACTCCAGACCTTGAAAATATACCTGAGAATATATATATATTTTTTGTATATATATTTATATATATTGTGTGGTATATCTTCATAGTTATGGGTTACAGTACTGGAATATGCAATGTTGGCTATTTCTGTTTTGTCTGCAAGAAACTTGTATACAGATTCCTTAATTGGGAAGGAGACTGGCCTGGCTTCTGAAGATGGCAGTAAAAGAAAAACAATTTTTACACTTAAAAACAGTGAATAATAGAAACCACTTAAATACCCTGAATAGAAGTATCTTGATTTCAAAAGACTGTCATGCTTCAAATGGCTTATCTTAAATTTTACCACATGACCATTATCACTTTTTTTAGCTCTAATGTATTGTCTGCATATGACAAAACCCACTTTTTTTCCCCCTGAATAGCTCCTGAAATTCTGAGTTATGACCCAATCAGTACAGCAACTGATATGTGGTAAGTTGAACAAATTAATGGTCATTATAACTTTACTAAAAAGGGTTGTTCTTTGGGGATTTTTTTGTTTGTTTGCTTTTAAGAAAGAAAGGCTAACTAAAAAAACTTTTCCTTTTTTACTTTTAATTTAGGAGCATTGGAGTACTGGCATATGTTATGCTAACAGGGATATCACCTTTCTTGGGGGATGATAAACAAGAAACGTTCTTAAATATATCTCAAATGAATGTAAGTTACTCTGGAGAGGACTTTGACCTTGTATCAGAGTCTGCTGTGGATTTCATCAAAACTCTGCTCGTTAAGAAACCCGAGTAAGTAAAATACACTATTGTATATGCTAATATGTCAGCCTGACTTCATATTAAATGTAGCAAGTTCTAGTGTTTTCATTCTTAAAGTATAAGGGGACTTTGATTTCATTGTGCTATTACTTTTTATGTATATGAGAAGAGAATTCCTCATTTTCCATCCAAGCTTGTATATTGCGAATGATGTCCAAGTGTTAGTAATTAAAACTCAAGTTACTTTCAGAAAACTGTGTATGAACTGTAGCTTGTAGCGGTGAAGACTGCGCCCATTCTTCTTGCAGGTACTTTGCTGAAGTCTTTTAAATGAACTGAGCTTTGAGTCCTTAATCTTGGATGGGTTGGTAGAGACCCTTTCCTTTTCTGGTTCATTAGTACACTTTTCTTAATGGGTGGCAAACTGGAAATTCCAGGCTCCCAAACAGAACAGGTGTTTTCTGTGGAACTTTACCAGTTCTTCATGGGACATGTCAGCTATTGAAATTGCCTACTGCTTGTCTGTGGGAATACTTGAAGAATGTAGAAGTTGGATAATTTTTCTATATATAAAAAGTATAAATTTCAAAAGTTGGTTGGTTGGCAACATGGAAGTGTAGACTCATATTTAGGGATCTATGAATTCCTTTCTTTTAAATGCTAGGAGTTCATCTACTTCAACTGCTTTGGACTTTTTTGGTAAAAGATAGCTGTCAGTGCTTTTTTTTTTTATTTACAATTTTATCTGTCTTTAACATAGTCATATATTGAAATAATTTTTGGTGATCTCTTCTGCAAGGTTCTGAATTTTGTATTCATTTGGACATTTATTTTAATACTTTACTTGCTCTGCAGAGACAGGGCAACTGCTGAAGAATGTCTTCAACATCCATGGTTGGAACAAAGTGATAATCCTGCTTGCAGAGCCTGGAATAAGAGTACAGAAGGGGAGACCAGTGATGCCATCCAGAAAGATGGAGATTCTGCCTCTGAACAATCAGAAGACACTGAGAAGACTGGAGAGGAAGAATCAATAGTGACAGAAGAACTAATTGTAGTGGCTTCATACACACTGGGACAATGTAGGCAGTCAGAAAAAGAAAAAGTAACTGAGCAGAAAGCCATTTCCAAACGATTTAAATTTGAGGAACCATTACTGCAGGAAATACCAGGAGAATTCATTTACTGAACTGTGTGGAGCTTCATAGCTATAACTGGAAGGCAGTTTTTTCTACTAAACAAAAAGTATTCTAGCCAAGTGAATTTCTGATATGCAATAAATGTTCTAGATAAAAGAAAGTGTTTATAAATGGCATACAAAAAAAATGTGCCAAGTTCTTATTTTCATGGAACAGATGAAATTTCAAGTGGCTGACAGGAATTTAACAAAGAGGATAAGCTTATTTTTGTTTTTGATTTTTATTTCTGGTTTTTTGTTGTTGTTATTGATTGGTAAGAGAGTTTTTGCTAATTGTTCTGGTGTTCTTGAGAAGTTGACACTGGAAGTGTTTTGGTGACAGATGTCAATAGGAGTATTTTAGGATACATTTTGGTATTTAATGCAAATATATAATGCTGGGTTTTCCTCAAATGCCTCCTGACTTCAGTGGAACTATCTGCTCATCTAAAACTTGTATGAGAGGAGAATATGATCACCTGGTTTGATGTACAGATTTCAGAATCATCCTGTGTGTATTTCTTTGTTTACATCAGGTCAAAGACCCAAACTCCTCTGGTGTGTAGCTGAACAGTGAGCTGAGCTTCTCCAGACAGAGATGCACATGCCCCACTGGGAAAGAAATCTGTACTGAACATATGTATTATTTAGGAGCACAGTAAAATCCTGCTCCTGAGGGTGATATATTTGCTTATTTCAGTCACTTGTGAGCCAGCAGAGATTGTTCCCTTCCCCTCCCATGTTGGGTGAGATGTGCCAATAGAATCCAGCTCAGTGTGGCCACACAGTGCTGATGGGAGGAAAAAAGAATGACATTCTGATGTAGCTCCTCTGAAGTTACTGAAGTTCTCTCCACTGACTTTACCATGTTAGGTTAGACAGTTTGTCCAGCTAATCAGCCCTTGATTCTGCCTCCCCCAGAACCAGCTGGGGTTTTACTGGGATTATGAGGTCATTTCTGCCTTCTTTCTGTTCCTCTAATAACTGCTGCTTTAAGGAAAAAAAAAGAGCATCCTTAGGCTAAATTGCAATTGTTCAATATAGCTGTCAGATGAGGAAGAAGATACTGCTTCTTCTGAAACAGTGAAGCACAGCTCATGCCTCCTGCTTCCTGATCACTCTCCCTTAGACACTTGGAAATACAGCATGGTATGTGGCCTGGCAGAGTGGGATTAGAGAGCAGTATGGATGGGTCATAGTTCTCAATGGACGCAGTCTCTCAGAGGACAAAGCTGGCACCAACTGGGCACCAAAACTGAGTGGTTTTTGCAATGTACAGGTCTGAGGATGTTGGCCTGAGTCCTAGTTTTCTAAGAAATCTTTCATATTGATGCTGTTCCAAAGTTTAATTTTTATGTAATGGAAGTATAGTACTATTATATTGCATACTGTTAACTATTCAACTATTTATTTGGTTTCCTTATGCTGTTCCTTTATAATAAAGTCTGACAAAAGTTTTCTTGCTATAAAACAGTGAATAGAAACTTTTGAGCTAGTTTTTCCCTTTTTTTTCCATGTTGGTACACACTTTTTAATTTCAAATGTATCAAATGTTCTACTCGATTTAGTGAGGAGGAGTTCAGGGCTCTGTGCTAATGTTACAGTTCCTCCTTCACACAAAAGTTAAATGGCTTAATGAGAGCAGCAGTACTGGGGTGATCTGATCAGCATGGCTGGAAAGGTGGGGGAGGAACACTAGTACAGAAGAAAGCTGAACCAAAAGCAGTGGGACAATGGGTAGTTTTTCCATAAGGCATCATTGCCAGAGGTTAGGCTACCCTTACTTCAAGCCACATCAGGGAAATTGCACCTAAATTAAACTGTTCTATCAGGCTTTTCCCCCTATGAAACTACATATTGAATATTCAAGTAGGTAGAGCAGCTTCTCGTTCCTCAAAGGTGTTCATATAAAACAGCCAGTGGTGCTCAGAATTGACTTTGGACATGTTATATATTGTAATGCAGAGATGCCTTTCCTGCTCTGGAGAAAGGAGTCAGTTACTGGACAGCTCTGGCTGGCTCTCAGCAGGAGAATCTTTGAGCCAACAGCATATCTGTGTTATCTGGGTGTTTCTGGACACAAAGAGGAGCTGACCTACAATGTGGTCTGTTTCAGCCTTTGTTAGGCAGGACAGTGCCACCATGGCCATCTTTCTTTTACTCTCCAGTCATTTGCCCAAGACAATTTGCTTGGGTGACGGGACGCTGATTCATGGAATTCTTCTGTGCAAGATTGCAACTTCTCCTATCTTCCATCATTGCCATTTTGACATTTTTTCTCTCATATCCTTACTTTCTTCCATATGTTACTAAGTTGAGCAGAGCAGTGAGGTTGAAACATGTTCACATCCTACCCTTACAGAACAATGCTGCCAGTGTTGCACACATAAATGTTTAACAACACCTGGTTGCCCACAGCAAACTATTTGCGGGATATATATATCCCGTTTCACTTCCTCTTTGTAACCACAGATCATGTCTCAGATTGAGACTGGTACCAATGGAAAAGAGTAGATGCTGAGCAGTATACATTTTGTCCTATATACTGTTTGTAATGACAGTGAAGCTTAACATGTGTACATGAAATACATACTTATTTCAAGGGCAGCTTTTCTTGAATTGGCTGCTTTGAGATTTCCAGTGGGCTGCATTTCTGTTTAACTCTTTATGCCTTAAGGTGATTTTATACACTGTTTTTTTTAATGTAATTAAGAATTTGTATAGAGCTGTGAAGGTTTAGTAGTGTAAGTTATAAAAAAGGCATCTTAGATTCACCCCATAACAAGGAAAATTTTCTGTAACGTTTCACTGCAGGACTATCAGCCAGACCCAAACCCTTGAGGCTCTTTCTGTTCCACTGTGAGTGTGGGTAAAGCTGCAAGTGAGGTGTTCTTACCCTGAGCTCTAGGAAGGGGCTGTTCAGCCAGTGTTGTTGAGGAACTCAGTTACGAGTGAAGTGACACATCAGTAAAACCAGGAGCAAACCAAGAGCTGTGAGGAACAGCTGGTTTTCTGCAGCTCCATGAATACAGGGGACTGTGTGTGTGTACACAGGTCATTTGGGAAAAGCTCCTGTGTTGGTGGGGAAGGGGCTGCTTTTGGGGAATCAGCTCCCTGGACCTTGTAGGCAATGTTCTCCCAGTCCCCACTCTCCAGACCGAGCACATGCTGGCTGCCTTTGTAGCACGGAGAGCATGGCTGCTGTTTGCTCAGATGCAGGATGCTGAAGGAATGGAAGGGCAGATGTTCCTACAGAGTTATCTGGTTCATGGGAGACCCATGAACTGTATCAATAGGAAGGGTAAGTCCAGGCCTAGGCCTTCTTTCAGTTGTTGGAATAAATAGCAAAGTCCTAATGAAAAGCACAGCCTTGTCTCCTCTTGTTGCTATATTCACCTCTTTAAGGGAGAGGTTTATACATTTTATAGTTGCTAAAATAGATGTTCTACAAAACAATATTTTTCTTTTTGTCCAAAGTGGAATTTGCATTGTGATTTGTCTCATGTCACAATTTTTGTGTGCAGGTCTCTAAATACAAAAGGGTGAATTCCAGTTTGTGATCTACCCCCTGAATCCCCCTGAGAGCTGTTAGGTCACAAATGCAAATAAAAGTTCACCGCCCATTCTCCACTGGTGGTGCTCACAAGGGATGGGGAGGGAGGTGGGCTTTGTGGCTTAAGATCTCTCTTGAATATTTCAGGTGTTGTTCCTGGAAGACAGTTCAAAGTTTTAAAGAAATAGTGCCAGTTCATTGTACTTCTGATAAGGTGTTTACTGTTTCAGGAACTTTACAATAAATAAAATTTTGTTTTCTGAACAGCTGATGGGTCTTTTGTTCTTTGTGCTTTACATTAGCAGAATTACTGATATTTTAGTTTTCTGAATCACAAATTTGTTCAATATGTGCAGCAAATATAAAATGCATCAGAAGTCTTTTCCATATTAAAGCAATATGCTTCCACTCTAGAGTTTTTCACGGTACAGATGTTGAATTAAACTGTCATTTGGATTGAAAAATACAGTCAGGGAAAAAAAAAAAAAAGAAAGTACATATGGATGTGATAAAAGTCTCTCCTAATTAAGAAAAGGATAGGATGCGTCAAAGTGAAGCAGAGCATATAGGACTAGAGTCATTACTGCAAAATTAGGAGAGGAAAGGGAACTACTTGAAAGGATTATCTTTTTTTCTGTAAACACAGGACTTAATTATATTGCGTCTTTGATTGCTTGTAAAAGTAGACTCGCAGCTAAGCTGGTGATGCATTGAAATCAGTGTACCCCATCTCTTAAATTAATTTGCAATGCCAGCATACACACTGAATTACACAGGTGTTTAAGTAATTCTCACAGAGAAATCTCCTGAGCTGCCTGGATATCACTTACCATCTTCCACTTTCCAGTAGCACCTTGTGAGATCCAGCTGGTCTGGCTGCTGGATGGAAGGTTGTGGGCCTTACCAAGCAAAGAGAGGCAATGATTGTTTCTCAGAAGTTACTGAATTAAGGTCCTTTGTCCGTAAATATTCTAGGAAAGCAAATTAATAGAAACTGCCTTAGATTGGTCAAGAAATTACATTAGTCTAGTATTTTTATATAATTAGTACTACTTAAAATGAACCAAAGACGTTTGGCCAGGTGTGATATATCTTCCAAAGTGACACCAAGAGCAGGCAAGTCTCCATTGTTTCTGATATTACAGGACTGCCCAGGGCCTGCTGCAGGAAACTTGGTAGTAAATGTTGCGGAAAACTCAGGGAAATTATGTCTTTGACAAGCAGGAAAGATGCAGCACATGGCAGGAAAGAACTGGATGTATCCTCATTTCTAAATGGGAGATGAATCCAAATAACTTGTATTCCCTGTGCAATGCAGGACATCTTCCCAATATAGGAAGTGAACTGAGTCCATAACTTGGACAAAAGTCTATCACTCCTTGGAGAAACACTCCAAAGGGAACATGTCAGCCACTTAGCCTTTCTGAAGGCAGTGCTTTCAAAACACGTATCTTTTTTGTTTTTCAAAACACAACCCCTGTGTGCCCACCAGCTCCAACTCAAATAGGTGCAAGTGTTGTAACAGTACTGAGCAGTATCTGCTGTTCCTCAGCTGCAAATTAAACTCTTGCCCTGAATAGTCTGCCACCTTGGTAGTTTCCTTGAGGGTAATTACTGCCTGACAGAAACGATTAAAATCAAAGTAAAGAATAAGAAACAAAACAGGCAATCCAGCAAAGGTCATGAAGATGATGTTTGTTTTAACCACACCAAGAACTGGAAAAGGAACTGCATAAATTTTCAAGCCAATAAAAAAAGAAGTATTTTAACATACTGAACATGATTAAGATGGTTAAAGGATTGTAGCACCTGTTAATGAAGCTGAGAGACCTGGAATTGGAGAAGGCTTGGGGAGGGATCAGTGTGGGGGCAGAGAAAAGAGAATGGAGACAGATTCGTCTTGGCAGTGTCTAGTATCAGGACAAGAGATAGTGAGCACACCCTCAAGCACAAAATTCTGTTTAAACATAAGAAAAAGCTTTTTTTTTTTTTACTGTGAGAATGGTTGTACACTGGTACAGCTTGTCCAGAGGTTGTGGAGCCTCCACCTTTGGTGATCTTTAAAACCTGACTGGACATGCTTTCATGCAATCTGTTCAAGCTCACTCTGGTGGGAGTGAAGCGGTTAGATTAGATGATCTCCCAAGGTTCCTCTCAGCCTTAAGTGTTTTGTGGGATCCAGGTTCTTTTCTCAAAAGATAAAGATTTTCTCAAAAAGAAAAAAAAAAAAAGAAAAAAGAAAAAAAAAACCTAAAAAAGTTCCCCAAAACCAAAAGAAACCAGTGTTTCAGGGCCATGAAAAAATTAAAGAGAATCTTATCTTGCTCCAGTGTTCCTCAGAAGAAAAGACTGCCCAGGTGCCCTTTTGAAGTTATTTGGGCTTTCAGCAGCTGCTGGTGGTTCTGAGACCTTTGCTCTCCCTATTTTCCTGGCATGTTCCCAGCTCCATTGGCTGCTCCAGCTGCACCTGTGTCCTCTGTGAAAGCAGCCCCCTTGGGCTGTGATGTATTTAATGGAAGCCACATGGCCAAAGCTGCTTGGCACTGAACACACCAGCCTGATGCTTTTTTCTCCTTTTGAATACATGCATCTTAAAAGAGCTCAAACATGGAGAGGAAGTGACTTCCGAGCTTCTTCAAGGTTACGAGGCAAGAAATTCAGTGTTTTCAGGCTATTAGGTAGTAAAACAAAGGCAGGGAATTAATTGTGATTTTACTTCTCCCTTTCCATTGATTTGCTGGCTTCCATCTGCACCCATTGCTTTACTCCTTCTCTGGGTTTTAAGATTTGATTAAGAGAATCATTGGTATGATATGATGATATGGCCCATTCTCACAGCTCTGGGGAAGCAATGGGTTGGTTGAGCTGACTGAGGGCCCTCAAAGTCAAAGGGGTGCTCAGGGAAGAAAATGAGAGATAGAGCCTCTTTGCAAGCTCTGCTTCCCCCAAGCAAGGTAATAAAATCTCCAGCGTTACTTGTAAGGTTTGTGCGGGGATAACTCCTCCAGGCCTGGAGAATCCAGGGCTGGAGCGAGGCCAGGCAGCGGTGTTGTGGTGCAGCAGCTTGTGAAGGCAGCATGGGGATATTGTGTGTGCCAGCTCAAGGAACAGGGAGGTGGTGAGCAAGTGCTGTGCTGCTGGCTGGGGTGGCTGTGGCCAGACTTCCTGGACACTTGAGGACTTTGCAGCCACTGCAGGTCCCAGACTTACTGAGCACAGAGAGGTGACCAAAGGCAGATGAATGGCAATGTGTGCCAGATGCTCCCAATGCAGACACAGGGAGGGACTGAACAGGCTGGGGTTCCTCTCCACAACCATGGTATCTTTGCAGATTAGCAACAAATCAAAGCTGCAGCCAAGGAAGTGGTAATTGATGGATGGGAAGTGGTTGATTTGGCTTTTTCTTGTCAGCTGTTTGATTTCCCACCAAACTTCTTCAGTGACCAAGAGCTAGAGTCAATCAAGCTCTGAGGCACCAGGTGGCCAGCAGATCTCCATATCCCTGAGGTGTTGTTCTGGCTAGTGGTAGTGCAAGGCTAATGTTTTTATATCATATGAAATTTGATTTGGCTTGTATTTTGTTTTGTGGAACCAGTAAACAGCAATTTCAATCTTCAAGCTGGGCAATGCTGTCTTTTTTTGATTAATTCTAATCCTCTCCCTGGTGTGCTGGGCTTTCATGTGGGTTGGGTCAGGTCTCACAAGTGCTGTTCATCCTGACAGCTCTTTGTGAAGTTCAAACTAAAGCACACATATATTGCTTCATTCTAAAATTGTTTATCCAAGATGCCTCTGCTCTGGCTCCTTAGCATCTCCTTTCTAAAAAGGCATTTGCTTTTCAGGTTTGTTCAAAAGCCACCTTGCCCAGTTTGCTGGGTTGTTGTTAAAGAAGAAAATGCTCACTCTTCTCTTCTTTGCTCTAGCTCTCCCTTCTCTCATACTCATGGCTCTTAAAAAAGCTTTTCAGTGCCTTTGCCCCTGGTGGATTTCTTGGACTCAAATTTAGAAGAAGAGATGGAAAGGTGTGGAACAGAGAATGGAGCGGTATAAGCTCTGAGCTATCCTTAGCTACAGCCTCTCTTAATCTAGACATTAAGCATCTCTATTACAGTGAATTCAAAACACTCTTTTGACTGGATGTTCTTAAGGGCTCCTGTGTTACTTCCTGCTACAGACAGGACAGTTACTTGCATTTTTTCTGTCCCTCAGACTGTGCCTCAGGTTTTGCAATTGTTTGCATAGGCAGTTTGGGATGGGACTGGAAATTGTTTGGGTTTGGGGAGTTTTTTTGTTAGTTTGGCATGTTTTGCTTATTCCTCAACTTGCTTGGTGATGGGAAATTCTCTAACTGATGGCACAGTCAAAATCTCTTGTTGTAGTCAGAGGAAACCGTGGCAGTGACTTCATCTGTTCTTCACCCTTCTGAGTGTTTTTCTCCCTAAATGTCCTCTCCAGAACTTGTCAGACAGTGCTGGTGCGAAGCAGTGGCTTCTTCTGAGTAACCTTCAATGTGAGCAGTGAGTCTCTTCCTTGAATTCCTAAGTTGAGTGGCCTCAGCTTTCTCATGAGCTTTGTAATGATAACTGTGAGGGTCCAAATCTACCTTGTAAGTGAAGTCGAGGGTGCTGCTGCTGAGCTTCACCTTTGCTGCTTCATCCTTTCTGATTCAGGCAATACCTTGTTGAGAAACTGGGGGGAAACTGAAGCAGCAAGTCTTCTCAAAGCTTTGAGAAGCTGACTTGTCCTAACTTTGGTCTGCCACTGTAAAACAAAGCTCAGTTTCCTGGCAGTTTGTTTATTTATTTCAAATTCATAATACCAGCACACACAGGGCATAACACATGACTTCTCTGCAACAGCAACTCTTTTGCAAGGTATTTATTTTAGGCTTCTGTTAAACACATAAATAAGCCAGCAAAAGAAAGAAATTACAATTACAACAATAATGAGGTAAATCTTAGAGAGAAAATTGTCTTGAGAGCACCCGCTTAAGTGAAACTGTCACTTTTAACAACTGTGTACATTCACAGCCACAGCAGGATGCAATCGATTAATGGCTCCTTTGGCTCAATGGGAGGCGGAGATGCAGCTGTCCCTGATTTTTAGCCTTCTTGCACACCAATGCTTCCCACTGGAGAGTGGTAAATGGGAATATTCTGCCCATCCCGCAGTTTCAAGGTGACATCCTGAAGGCACCAGCTGACATAAACCAAAGAAGATTTTTAACTTGTAGCAATCACTTTTAACATGGTCAAGTCAGTATAAAAACAGCTGGCTCAGAGAAACAAATAATTCCACACATTCAGTGCTTTTAAAAATTCTCTCAAGTGTTTTAAAACTTGGTTTGTGAGCGCCAGCTTCTGAAAGCTGTTCTCCCCATGGCATAGCCCAGATTTAAAGGTCTGGTATGCATGTTCCTATTTGTTGCAATTCAAACAAAAACCTGCCAGCTCTTCTTAGGACATTCCTTCCCTGACCCGGTGCCTTTTTTCCTCTCCATCCTGCGGGTGCATTCCTTGCTCCACTCCTCTCCAGCCTTGGAGTCAGACAGTGTTGCTAAGGAATTATTCTGGCTTGGAAGAGTTTGAACACTGTGTGATCGCTCAATGTGACTGCTGGAAAACCTGACAGGGTACGACAGTGGTTACTCTAAGAAGGAAAATTGCATTTGTTGGAGACTGAGGGGGAGCCTGTTCCTTCCTCTAAGCTCTGCTCCAAACCCACTTCTGAGAAACTGCTCATGCTGCTTTTCCAGCTGGAAAGGACTATTCTTTTGGGGTAATAAAATAGGATTTTTTCAAATGCTCCTGGCACTGGCCCAGCTCTGCTCTTGCTGGAGTCAGTGCTGAGTACATACAATTAAGTAATTAGGCTGCTGCACCTCTGTGCAATGGGTGCAGCAGGGCTCTGCTCAGCAGTCCTCTGACCAGTCCCCCAACCCAGACCAAGCAACCAGGCTTGGGGGTGACCTGTTCATTCTCCACAGTGCAGCCTGGGGGCTCAGCCCTTCTCTTGGTCACTTCAGGGCAGGCAAGAGGAATTTTGCAGTGCCTTGGCTGCCCTTGCCTCTGGGCACCCTCCCCATCCCTGTACTGCCTGCCTCTGGATGAATGCCACTTCCTCCTGGACCAAACAAGCTCACAGACTCCAAATTTTCTTTTTCAGTTATCTTCTCTTTTACAAAATAAAACACTAGGACATTCTGCACACTCAGAGTGAGATGCATTTCAGTAGCTCTGGTGCCTCAGCTACTCTTGCACAGAGCACTCAACTCCTGGTGCTATTTAGCTCCGTCTGTATCAGTGTGAGAGCTGCCCTGGAAAAGCACACGTGAACTCTGGAGCATCCCACCAGGGTGGCCTGCTTACCTGCTCCTTACTCACAGCCATTTTGCTGTTAGTTCCTCAGTGGGATGCAAGGGCACCGAGTCCTGTCTCAGCCCCAAGCGAAGCTATGCACAGGACCCTGCACCTGGGTGGATTTGGTGGAGTCTGACAGATTTATCTGCCACAAATCCTTTTACAAGCAGATGCCCTTTTTTTTTTTTTCTTAGATTTACAGAAACGTAAAAAAAACTAACTTTAAAACAAAACTCCAAGAGATGTGTATGCACTGCTGTAGTTTTAACATTTTGCAATCTTCAGTTATCTTCACAGTAACTGTGAACAAGAAATAACAGGGAATTGTCTGTGAGGAGGGGCTAAGGAGGAGTGAGGAGATCAGAGCTCAGGCACCAGGGAAGTGATGTGTCCAAGAAATGGGGCTGGGGACCCTTGGGGTTATGCCTGTTTATTAGGGAAGAGGCTAGGTCCAGTACTGAGTTTCTCAAGTCCCAGCCTAGTGTCTTTCTCTTCCTTCCCATACTTACTCAGAAGAGAAATCCAGTAAGTCACACTCATCTAATTATTAATAGAAACATCACCATATGGCTGGTGGCAGCTGAGTAAAAGTTTTGTAGCTTTTAGTTTCTAAACAGAGCTAACAGAAATACCTAACAAGAGGTTTGCATCTAGTAAATCTTTTGAGTTCATGTAGTAATTCTTTGCTCAGTTCCAGAAACCAGTTTACTGTTGACAAAGGAGGTTTTCAGGCTTCAGTATACTACGAAAATGTAAAGTCAATTCTATATGATATGGTATCAGAGTATCCTTCTACTATAATGCATCTGTTCTAGCACTTTTTTTGAACTATAAGGACACTTCTTGGATATCACAGAAAAACAAATCCTGTTTTTAGCTCACCTCATACAGCTGTGATATAATGTGTGATTCCCTTACTGCAATCTCTAATACCAGACCAGAATTAGGACTGCTGTTCAACAACCTCTGCACCTCTATGGGGAGGTGGGGTGGAAGGGAACCATGCTTTACCTTGGCTCACAATATTTGGATATGTACTGAGCCACAGTTTGCAGAACACACTTAACAGAAAGAAATGGCTCACGTTCCTCTTCTATTCACATTCAGAAAGATGGATTCAAAATATTTCTCAACTAACTTACATTTTTGTCCTAATGAAAATAATAACCTTTGACCAGACCTTCAGACAGCAGTTTCTGTTCGATCTGTGGGCATGACCTCAGCATCACACGTGACTAAAGCAAATACCCTGCTCTACTCTTTTCTCCTACTACTTCTTTCCCATTTCACCTGTAACCCCCCCAGGTACACACCACTGACGGGAGTGGTCCATCTCCGAGTCAATGTAGAGGTAGCCCGCCGATTTTGTTCCAGAGACCGGTAACTTTATCTGCAAATGTAAAAGCACATTAAAGATTCAGCAAAGCTTATGAAACAGACATTTACTCCTTCTAGTCAAAGAGCTCACACCTTTTTAACTTTTAACACTATAATTTATTTTTTTACTGTATTTCAGAATTGGACTGATCTAACAGCTAACACATGTGTGGCTACACAAGTATGTCTGCTCTGCTATGCATTAATCTCTCTCTGCCTAAAGAATGTACTGTGTTACAACTGCAACCCCTGGGGAAAACCACTGGCTCCCTGAAATATTTATGAGCAAACACCTTTCCTTACCAGAATGTATGGTCATTCAGAGGTGACTTGAACTGTCAGAGCTTCCCATAACCATTACAAGCCTGTATGTTGAGATCCTCTGCATATCAGCCCCTTAACACACACTGAGGCAATGAGATGTTCAGGTTTTTTTTTTTTTTTCAGTGTCACAAATTTTATCATTTATTTGTTTAACAAACAAAGCTGAAGCTGCAGCAGCAACCACGGCCAGTTGCACTGGGTTTAATGTCTGAATAAAAGAAATGTTTCAGGTGTAGCATTTGCTGGTGATGATGCAATCACAGAGAAACTGCCAGGTGCTTGCCAACAGACCCAGGAGCTGGGAATGTTGAGAAGTCATTAAATCGACCTGTGGTATAATGATGATTAACCAGTTTATTTCATGAGAACATTAATACTTAGGAGCATGAAAAAGTAGAGAAGAAAGTTGGGTGATTTGTGTCTTGGGTGAGGTCAGTAGAAGGCAGGGTTTGACTTCACCCTGAGTCACCCAAGCGACCAACATTCTTAAACAGTGACATAGGAAAACACCCGTGGGAAAGGTTATCTCCTTTTCAGTCAGTATATGACACTGCGTGGGGTTTTGCATGACTTTCTTCCTTAGATATGTTGCCTGGTGGAATCTATAAAACACGGAAAATGTTTTGGTCCAGGGTATCATGTAAGTGCAGCCTGGCTGAAGTGAAATGGAAATTAATTTTATGTGAGCTGGTTAAAGGTTGGGTTTTTTTTAATCTTATCCTGATGGTCATATTCCTTCATTGTATCATCTGGCCCATTCCTTAATGCCCTTTCTTGGTCCCTGGCATTCATAACTACCCACCAGTAAAAACAAAATTATTCCAATGTGATGAGGTACCCTAGTGAAGGACCTGGAGAGGTCGCTAGGGGCAATCGGTGTTAGCAAAACAAGGGAAGGGCATCCAGTTATGGACTAAGGGGTAAAAACTCCGATGGAAAGTACTCTTGAGGCATCAATGCCAAGTGGAAGTGGACTTGTGTTTGCAAGGTTTGCCTAGGCTCAGCCCTCAGCTGATACAAGGCAGCCTTGTGCAATACTTCAGCAGCCAGCACAGCATTCTCCGGTCACTGAGTAACCCTCACACTCAGTCTCAGGCTGGGGAGCTGTTCTCAATGACACAAGCTTACAGGTGCTCTTAAAAACCACACCATTTATGCTGTACCATGGCATAGCCTGTAAGAGGCTGTAAAACTGCTCTGAATAAAGCCCTAAAAACTAGCATGGGACATATCTGGGGGGTAAAGGAAGGCAGGTGCTATTTTAAAGCTGGATCTGATACGTCTCTGAAAATGATTTTGTGGCTTACAGTGTGAGGGGGGCACTGATCATCTTGAGAGGTTCCTCGGCATTGTGTGATGAGCCCATATAGCACAACACAGAGATGCTGCTCTTGCTGCTTCTAGGCTAGTAGATTTATGCTCTGGAAATCCAATCCGCTTCTAGATCAACCGGTATTCCATCCCGCTGCCTTCCAGTGCCCCCAGGTGACTCATGACCCGCTGAAAATCCCCTGGCTGATCTCTTGTCACCTGACATCTCGGGAAGCCATCCTGTGACGCTGCCCGCCCAGAGTTACCCGCGCTCTTTCTGTGTCCACGCGATTGCTCCCATCTGTCAGGCGGATGTTGTGAACCTTAAGAGGGGGGGCACCCAGGGCTGCCAGGGCATCAGGATTGCTGTTCAGCTGCTCCAAAGCTTGCTGGTAATACTGGGTCCTGGCAAAACTTTCTAGTTTTGAGAGAAACAGGGTAATGAGGAGACTGTTCACTTAAAATCAAAACATAGGCTTAAAAAAAAGACGTTTATCCAGACTACCACACCCTCCCTGAAATACAGTCCAAAACTATTAATTAGGAGAAATTTGGCTAAAGGAGGAAACACACCCTTACATCAGAGAAGAAAATGTTATTCAGCTCATTTAAGTGAAGAGGGCTCTGAACATAGCCTGTTCCATTCTGATCTACAGCTCAGCTTACGGCTGTGTCTCCCCACTTTTCATGCATTTGTAGGTTATCTAAAAGGAAGGGAAAAAAGGTACAAGGATGAATATCTGAAATGTTCTAATAAAAATTCTATTTTTTGTTTTTTTCTATTTGAGGTACATAAAATACTTCAAGAATGGAGAATATCTTGCAAACATTGAGAGGGGAACAGCTGCTGCTGTGCAACTCTAGCTGTGGTCTTGGTACAGCTTTCCAAGTGGCAGCCATGAAGTTACAACTCTGCTGGTGGATGCCTTAGAAGGGAGGTGCTGAGAAGCACCACTCGAGTTACTGGTCAAGCAGCCACAACAGCACTGCACACGCATGCTGCAGTGCTGGCACATGCAGGACAGTTGTTGCTCTGTATGGCTGTGAAAAGCTGTACCGTGGTTACAAACAGACAGGGCACAGCTGAGGAGCTGGAGACTTCCTGACCCTCCTTATGGAGACAGAGCTTTCCTTATTAACAGCTTTATGGCTGTCTTGCTGGGGTTCAGCTTAACTTCACTCTTTCAACATCAAGAAGGGCAGAGTTAAGCTAAGAGTGTGTAGTTGTTAAATACTACTCCGACAACTTTGACTTCACCTTTCAAAGGGTTTAAAACAAGGTGTAAGGTTTGTTTCTTGGTCTCTTGCCTGTCAGCATTAAACTTGGAGCATGAGGCAGAAAGGTGCTGCCCTTTCTCCCCAATTAGAGGCATCCCCTGTGAGTAGGGAGCATCCAGTTGGCATAGAAACAGCTTTGCTAGGCTGTCACCTGTGTTGGTCCTCCTGTGTCCCTCTGGTGCATGCTAAGAAGCTCCAGCTAAAGGGGTTGCAGCATGCCTGCCCTTCAGTACCTACAAATCATGGCAAACAGCCACTCAGACCATGTGAAAAATATATTGTGGTCATCCTGCAGGTTGGAGGAGAAATGGATTCTAATTTCCTGGTGCTCCTTCTCAGCTGTTCCTTGTTAGCACCTCATGCATTAGACATTAAATGCCCAGCTAATCCATTTGCCCCCACATCTTTCAGTAGGGGAGCTGAAAGCATGCTGGAGTTGGCTGAGCAGACTGCTTCCACGAGAAGGGTGTGGAGGTGATGAAAATAAGGAGAAATAGGATTACCTGAGTATTTGTACAAGCTTGCACAGAGATCACGTGCATGCAAACTTTCCTTCAGCCTAAAGGAAGGGAAGGGAAAGAATCCTTTCCCACTGCTCCCACAACTATGGAGGCCACTCGCTCCTCACTAGTCCATGTATGGGCCAGTTCTGTGCACTGGGCAGAAGGCACTGGGATAGCCCCAGGCAAGAGCCGAGGGAGAAAGGCTCTAAGTGTGGCTCCTGTGTCTGTTTAGAGGATAGAGAAGGACACACTTGGCTGCAGAAAATGTCCTTTCAGCAGCCTGGCTGGGTTATCAGGCAGCTGCTCAGTGGTCACTGAAATGACAAGAGGGCCCGAAGTAGCCATTGCAATGCGCCACTTGACTGCACAGCCAAGGCATGTGGGGAACCAGCCCTGGGGCTTGCTGTGTAGCACAGGGGGTGACTAACAGTGCTGAAGCTGAAAATTAAAAAATGCTAATGTCCTTGTTAAAGCCAGATTCAATATTTTAAAGCGTAAGGATCATATTTCTGTCATGTACTCCAGAGCTTGGGGGCATGAGCTGCCTAAAATTAAAGCCTGCTTTCCAGCCCTGTCTGATTTGTTATTAATATGTGTAAAATGAAGGGGAGGATTCAAAGCTTATCTGAGGGCTTGAGAAACAGGCTTGTCTACACTTTTTTGTGGCAGTATCCTCTGCTATCAGGGTAGGTGAAAAGTAATACCATTTGATAGCACCAACAAGGGAGAGGCATAGGGCCAAGAGGCCTATGGCACCCCCTGAGAGAGAGGCAAAGCTTATTTCTGCTCCGATGCTAACTATCTAACAGCAGTTTTAGAAAAAATAAACATGTATAATTTGGACTAATAATGTGGATTATTGGCTAAAGACACATAGCAACTAGAGATAAACAACTAGATATAAACAGCAACATCACCTGTCTAGCTTTTCTCTTTGTCCTGGTCTTCTCAGTACTGACTGTTCTTATCTGTACTTCACTGGGGAGAAACTCATGATTTCTTAGCACTTCACAGGTGTGCTGTGTTTAAGGGCCAGCACCACACAGAGATTTACAGATAAAACTGCTAGACTTTAACACCTTCTCACAGATGGTCCTCTTTTACTGCCCAGTTGCAAAACCTCAGTTAAGAAATGAAACCTGCATTACAACAGGTGAAGCTTTCACGTCACCATCACCCTCAGGAAACCCCCAAAAACCAGACTTTCTTCTGACCACAACAGCCTGCTCCCTATGCAATATGTGCCTCTGGAAATGCACACAGCAGCTCTTGGGGGAGCAAAAACCCTGAGGATGAAAAAAGTGGAGCACACAGAGGCAGAACCCAGAAGCTCTCCCCTTAATTTCATCTGCTTTTCACAACTTGCATGCTGCTATTTTTCCACTAGACAAAAGCCAGTGAAAGGGGCAGAGGAGAAATAAGGTTGCTAACAACACCAAGACTTACTTTGCATAAGATTATACATCACGATGCATCCCCCGCCGCTGAACAGTCCCATGAAAACAGCCATTTGCTGCAGTTTTCTCAGAGAAGCTGGCATTTTTCCTCCCTGAAAAGAAAAAGAGAAGACAGTTGTTGTAAAAGAAGAAAGCCAAAGGGTTACTTCCCCCCTCCTCCTCTTTCCTAAAAGCCTTTTCCAACCAGGCCTGAATGAAAGCGCAGCGCACAGGCACCGAGCTTGCTGGGGCCCCACCATGCGCCCAGAAGGAAGAGTGGTGAGAACAGAGCAAACCGGGAACCCAGCTGGGTTGAATGTGTTTATTCAACTTCTTTTAGTGATGCCACCACTTCACTAATTGCCGAGAAGAAAATGACCTCCCTGGCGTGGCCGGGGGCCAGTGCTGCGGCACTGTGGCGGGGGCTCCCGGTGCCCGTGTGTTTGCTCGCACACTGCGCGCATTCAGGCTCCGGGCACTGCATTTCTCTCTCGAGTAAACTCCTCTAAAGGAAACACGCTCGCAGCAGGGATGGATTTGGCCTTGAGTGGAAAGGGACAGAGCCAGGCCAGCACTGTGCCAGCAAAGATAATGGAGCCAGGGTGTGAGTATTCTCTTGTGTCAATTTTTTTCCCAAGCTGTGGATAAACAGGAAGTCTCTTCCAAGCTGTTTTTCTTCCTTCCTGTAACCCCCCACCCTCCCAAACTTGCCCTTTTAATGAGTCATAATTTTGACATTTGAATGCATGACCCAGCAGAATAAGAAACGCTTCCATAGTTTGTGTAAGAGGGGGACTGGAGAACTGAGCTAATGCTCCTGTCCACAGCAGGTTAGTAGGAGACAAGCTGAGTTGTCAGTGGGGGCGTAGCACTTTGCTTCAGGCTGTGGCAAGATCGGACTTGAACAAGCATCTGAGTATTGGCTCCTGCTCTTGATTCTCTTGGAGCTGGGATGGGAGGGAGGAATAGTCTTGACAGCAATTTAAAAAAAATAGCAAAAAGCCTTTCTTTTTCAATAGGCACAGAGGCATATGAATAATTGGGGAAGCTGTATGGGATTTCTAATCCCAAAGGCTTCACACCCCAATACTTGTCACACGACACTGTGACTTAAGTGCTACACTCAATGAGAGCTGATTAATAAACCAAGGCCCAAACCAAAATGTAACCAGAAATGTGACCTGGGCAAGACTGTTTGAGCCCTGTTGTGGAAACCACCTCTATAGGCATCCCTAAGGTATGTCTTAGTCAGGTACTGTTCAGCTGACAACCACAGTTGAGCAAGGGTGGAGACAAGTGTCAGAACTTCTTCCCGCGGTGGCCAGGTCAGGGTGATATGGGCAGCCTCCCTCTGCTCACCTCTCTGCTGACATGTCCTGATGCTGACGCTTGCATGCTCTAAATTGAGGGAAACTCAACTGCCCAGGGAAGTGGTCACAGCACCAAGCCTGTCTGAGTTCAAGAGGAGTATGGACAATGCTCTTGGGTACCTGGTGTGGTTTTTGGGGTGTTCTGTGCAGGGACAAGAACTGGACTCCATGATCATTGTGGGTCCTTTTAACTCAGCATATGCTATGATACTACAAAACTGTGAATGCAATTCAGGTATAAATTTCATCTCCTGCCCTGCTGGCATTAGCACTGAGTTGTAATGAATGCTATTCCCAGGCTGAATGCTTTCCTTATTAAGTAGTTTCCTTGATTTTTAAGAACCCTTAGTATTTAAGTTTACTGTTTAAATAATTTCAGAATTGTGGATGGCTAGTAGTGATAGCAACCCAGAGAGGCGTGTGGATGTTATGCCTATTTTATGCCCCAAAATGCCTAAACTGTGCCATTAGTATTGTCAGCTATCATCTCTCTCACTCCTGATCTGTTTCTATGATGAGTTTTTTTTCTCACTTCCCCTGGGGAACTTGAATGGCATGAGAAGTTACAGCACAGGAAATGTGCAAGTGGTTTTACAGAGAAACAGTGGTAGTCATTTCACAAGGACAGTGAGAACTTCCTGCTTGCCGCTTGTGTTTGCAACTTTCCTTAAATCCCCACAAAAATCTGATTAATAACCAAGTTTCTTATAAGATTCATCTGGCCAGGAGGAGGCTCTGACACCAACACCACATAACAAGGATGGGGAAAAAACCCCCGTGGTAACTCTGGAGGGAGGATCAGATATAACAGTTTGTGACCTGAGGCATTTGGTTTTGCCCCTTTCAAAGTTGTGGCCAGGCAAAATTTGCTTTCTGTGATTAAATTCAGGGTAATTGAATGCAAATGTCTGGGGGTGGGGGGTGATGCTGACAGTTTGCTGAGTAAGGGTGGGAAGACGGGGAGCTCTTGCACCAGCAAGGTTTTGACTGGGGCTCAGGGGACAGCGGAAATTAGAGGCTCTGCAAACTTGCTGTCAGTGGGTTTGAGGTTTGTTAGGTCTCACGGTTTGCTCACACCCAGACAAGGGAAATGCATGGAAAGAAAGAAAAGCTTATTGCTCATCAGTCACATGCTCACACACACTCTCATCACCACCTCCATTCCAGTCTGCAGTGTAGAGCTGGTGCCATCTGGCAAGGGAGCTTGGCAGCTGAGCAGTGGTGATCCCATTAAGCACTGCTGCCCCATGCAGCACGCCTGGCTGCTCCTAAGGTGCTGCCCCTGCCCACAGCTGTCTTCTGTTGCTGCTCCTGCTGAGGCAGAGATGTGGAGAGCTGAGGTGCACCCAAGCTGTGCACAAAGGTCTCCATTGCTCATTTTCCGTCACAGTTGGAAGCCCATGGGCTGGACCACCCCACCCCTGTCTAGCTTTTGATGCTCTGGTCCCACTTGTTTCTCAGCTGTTTTCCCAAGCCAATCCTGTAACAGCACACTGTGGGAAAAGGTTCAGAGCTACACATTTTAACAAGCCTCTCAAGACTGCAAACCTTCTCACTGATCCCACAATTCCTTGCCAGCCTCCAAAACCAAGGACAGAATTGACTTTGGAGCCCACAGCATCCCCCACAGAGGGGCTGCTGCTTCCTCTCCCTGCCATCCTGGTCCCTTGTGGAATGGATGCTTGAATATTTCAGCCTTGAGCATCCTTTGGCACACAGCTGCCAATGACTTCTGAATGGTGACAGCTTGCGGAAGACCAAAACGTATTAAGGCTCTGTTGTCTGCAAGGACTCGTCAGTTGGATTTCTGTCCTGTGGCCAACTGTGTTTGCTGCTCTGTTGGCTGCTCTGCTGAAGTGCCATGGGAGTGGCTCACTAAGGAAGGGAAGCAGAGTCATGCCCAAGGTGTGTCTCCTGTCCTGAGCCTTTGTGAACATGACACATGGCTTGCGAAGTGTAGGGGCTCTCCCAGGGAAGGACCAAATCCCCTCCACTTTGTTTGCCACAAAGGAATCAACTCTAAGTATTTGAGAGAATTTTATAGATACAGCATGCAATTGCCTCCTAAGGAGGAAGTTCATGCTGCTATCTGCGGTGATCTTCCCTGAGAACTGTTATATCTCTAAAAGAGTATGCAAGTCAACTGGGGGAAAAACAGACTTTTCCACAGCCAGTAATGAAAAAAGCACAATTTCCAAGCTATGCTGTTCTGCAGACACATCTTTTCCTCCATGTTATTTGCAGTGGTAAGAAAGATTAAGTGGAGGTTAGCACTCACAAAAACGCTGAAGCCACAGTTACCAATAAGAGACCTTAAATCGTTGTAAGTAGTGTTCTCAAAACATAACTGTTAAAGAGCAGAACACCCTAATAATGATGATGTTCATTTTGTGCCTCAAAAATAGCAGGATATGGAGGAGAGGGCTTGACTTTGAAGCTAAGTGGGACACAGCCTGTTAACAAGATTTAACAAACTCCCAGGGTCACATGTGAAATGGTGGGTTATTGCAACACTAAAGGCTGTTTTAAATTAGACTTTGTTTTCTCCACAGAGGATCTTCTAAAAATAGGCTGGCTTAAGAGAGTTTCCTTTATTTTGGCAAATTTGGGTTTTCTGTTTGGTCTCTGAAATTTGTGTGGCAGAAGTTGGTCTTGGGCATCTCCACCAAAGGCAGGTATTGGAGAAGAAGAACATTTTCACCATAAACATTAATTTTATTTTCCCTGGAATTGAGTAAGGGAGCTGGGGCTAGGAGTAGGTTCTATGGGGAAGGCATTTCCTCCTCCTTCTCCTTGTCCTTGTCTTCCTCCTGGTGCTACGAAACTCCACCAGCACCTCCAGCCTCTTGGTGCTACTACAGACCAAACAGCAAACAGTAATACTGCTCTGAAACAAGAGAGAAGCAACTTGATCAATGCAAACTTGGTGTGATCACTGCTGCCTGTCTCAATCTGGGCCACTGCCCACCCACCTGGCCAGGACAATATAGCACCAGGCCACCAACACAAGCAATTGGGAGCCTTTAAACCACCTTGAATAGCTGCAGTCCTGAGGTGTTGCACTGACACACTAAATAGGTGCAGCAAAAGACTACTATCAAATTAAATTAAAATTTATCAATAGACCTGAACACAGACCTGAACATCTAACTTCAAGGCTGGAATTGCTGCTGACCCTTCTGCAGTGGAAGTCTCCCTGGGCTGGTGGGTTTTTAATTGGCCTTGGGCACAGCTTTTCAGCAAACCACCCAGGAAGTCACAGGACATGAAGGGAATGTCAGGCAAACCACACATGAGCACACACTTGTATTTCACATTCTTGCTTTCTTGCCCATCTATTGATCTCCTAAGATCCATAAGGCAGGCATCTGGGTGTAAACCAATTTCTATACTAATAAGATACTAGGGCAACATTTTAGACACATCTTTTTGACATTCACTGTCTACAACATCCCTTCATCATCAGTACTCTCACCAAAACAGGACAGTACAGCAGAAGTGTTCTGACAGGATCTCAGCATATTATTTTTCCCTTTTTTTCTGGAAATAGCCTCAACATATTATTTACCTCATTTATGAGAGGTAACAGCACAAATTTTTGACCCTGCCAGCATGTTCAGAAGCATCAAAGACTTTGCATGTACAGAGTGCCTTCAACAAGACCTCAGAAACTTGTAGTAAAGTCTGCTTTTCTTCTTTTTCCCCCTCAGTTCAAATGCACTTAAAACACATATTCTGGCATTTAGGCAGGTACAACATCTTTTTTGACAGCTTTGAAATAGTCTCTTCCAGGATCTCCTTGTGAAACAGTTCCTAGATTTGTGTAGCTGGCCCTGGTGAGAATGCTTTAAGGGACCCACTCTATATATGAGAAAGACTACTGGCAAGAAAGCCCAGAAAGACTGTTAAGTTTGTTTTCTGCCTTTGCTACTAACTAATTAACAAGGCAAGAGAAAGTAGTCAATAAAGTGATTAAGGACTCTAAACAGTCACCTCATTCTTGTACCACTTCTGCAGTACACACTACAAAGCAGTTGGTCTTCTCAGTCAGCACAAAACCTGCATGATGCCTTCAGATATCTAAGTTTCATTTCATTTTTCTCCTCTCTTTGGCACTCTTATTTTCATGTTTCTATTCTATTTACAGAATAAAATTTCTGTTCTGCTGTCACAGACAACTTCCCTTTGTGCTCTTAAGCTGCACTGTCTCATCTGGTTTGCGCACCTGCACTGCATTTCTCTTCCTCCTGCCCACCCATATTCACCCCTCTATGTGCCCTCTTCCCTGAAGAATATTGCACCACCACCGTGGTGCTGAGCAGACACAAGCTGTGGGACCACCACTCCTATTGTCCAAGGAGTCCTGCTGTCTCCTGCTGTCCCTCAGTTTCTCTCTCTGTGAATAGAGCCTGTCCTCCTAACTGTGGGTAACAAAGGTGGATGCCAAAATCCTTCATTGGTTTTCTCTAAGTTGGAAAGATGCTACAGCCTAGTTTTTCCAGTCTTTTTGAAGGCCAGGCCCATGTGCCAGCAGTTCAGATCCTGCTCCAGATCACTCTCCAACACAACTAGAGCTGCCCCTACTTTGTACTGAAATACAAGGGATATATCGCAGAAAAAAGGCACAACCAGGGCGTATTATTAGAGAACCAGGATAATTATACCTACAGTGTGACCCATTTTTGCTGCTATTGGAGGATGGCATTATAGGTTAATGCCTAACAATCTGTCATTAACATCTCTAATTGTATGTTTCTGTAATTGGACACCATGGAGGGGGGAAGAAGGTGTCAATGTTCATCTTTCACATTTTAGAGGTGACTTGCAAAGGATTTAAGAGTAAGAATTCATAAGTAGGGTAAATGAAAAGTTGCATCCAAGGTGCAAGAAGAAAAGATTAGTGATGTTTACAGGTTTAACAGTGAGTGGTTTACCTGAGAAAGCTGTGGGACAGCTTCTTGGTTTCCTTGCTGCTGGGAGTGAGGTCATGAATTCGGCAATCCGAAGTTCAAAGGAATTGCTTTATGCTGTCCCTGTGCCTCTGCACAGCCTACAACACAACAGGCCAACTTCCAAATGGGCATGTTAAAACAAAAGAATCGTATAAAGAAACAGCAAATAGAGTCCTTTGGCTGCCTCATGCTGTCATGATGAGACAGAATAACACTCTGTGCTTGGCAGAAAGGGACTGTCAAGCCAGTGAGATTCTCAGTTTGATGTGTGTTTCCCATATATAATTGCCTAGAATAAGTTCACTTAGACCTGCAACATAAGGGAGCAGGGAAGAGTACAAAATCATTTCTCATGGAAAGAGTTTGCAATTCTTTCTATGCAGTGGTAATTACTTCTTTTTCTTAGCAGTTTGTGGGCATTTATCTATGTCCAATACACTCATTATACTGAAGACATTGACAAAATCTCAAAACTAAAATCAATATCCAATCTAGCTTTAAGTCAACTTACTAAATCCTGAGATGTGTGAAAGAATCAAAAACCACCAGGAATCTGTGATAACTTTCTTGGCCAACAGGTGACATTTTATCTTGTAAAAGGAAAATAAAATGGTCTCAGAACTTCACCCAAGTACTGCAGATGTCATTGGGCTAGGAACTCTGTGTGGCTATGTTAAAAACCTGGAAGTTTACCAATCCAATCGTGATAAGGCTTATGTTTGTAGTCTTTCTGACTTCAATAATATCATCCACATGCCCACATTAAACAGGCATGCAGTAGACAGTGATCTAAAGGTACTGAATGCCAGGGGAGGCAGTCACAGGGGAAAAATGTTTAAAGCAGGAACATAGTGTACATCACATGATGCTTGCTCCCTTGCTTGCCTCCGGGAATGAGGGGGTAAAAGATGTGGTGTGGTCTGCTCTGCTGTGGTCAGCGAGAGCCTGATTTACAAAGCTTTTAAAAATATTGCTGGAAGTGAGAAGGTCTGCAGTCTTGTGCCCAAACACCTTGCTGATCTAATGCTTTTTATTATATAGTATTACAGCAGTACATACTTTTGGCACTCAACAAACATCCCACTCCTATTCTTACTTCCTACTGAAAACCAAAACTTTAAAAAAATGCTACCCTAATTCCTCTCAGATGGGGTAACTTTATTTGAAGTGCCCTTTTTTATACCCTCACAGCATGGCCTCTCCTTCAGAAAATAAGGACTCTACTCTTCTGAAAGTGTGTGTGACCCTTTTAAATGTGTGTGATCAACACTTACAGCCCAAAGCTTTAAAGAAAACTAATTACTTTGGAACATCTTGGACACCTGGATCAGTTCCAGAAGTTGGTCCTTGCCCATATGAACAGAACTGGTTCAGTATCAGCTAAATCTATTAACACAAATTAGGATCTGGGGAAAAGCTAACCTCAAAGACTCGTGACTTTTTAATAAGCACTGGGGACCAAAATCAGCACAAGATCAGCTGGGATTCTGACCTAGAAACATTCTATTATCAGAAAGACAAAAAAGGGAAAAATAATTATGATGGGAACCATTAAAAATAAAAGAAAAAAAAGAAGTTCCCATAGTACTTGAGGTTTTCTGTTCAGACAGATCCAGCTTGTTAACTTGTGCACAGAGCCGTGCAAGACGGAGAGTGCAAAAGGGCGAGGGAAGTGATGGAACCTGCCACACTGCACATGCAGCATCTGGAGTCAGACCTTTAACTTCATCTGGGGAGTAGCTACTGATTTATTCATCCACCCTTGGAAAAAGGAAAAGTTATACTGGATGCTCACAAAATAGTTGGATATGAATCAAATTCCCTTCCAAATATGAGTCAGGACAAGAGGAATTTCAGAGAACAGCTGACTGCAATCCATATTTTTGTCTTCAGAATATGTGTGGGAAAGATTTTAAGGAATAAATATTTCTGCGTTTAATACTTTGAATATGATTTACTGAATCTTCAGTCCTTCAATAGCTCCTGTTAGGGAAGGCAGAGCTGTGGCAGAAAAACACTGAACAGCTTCACAGGAAGCCACACCAGGTCAGACACTTGATTCCCAGAAACCTGGGCTGTTCACTGTTCCCTGCTCATTCCCTCTCTAAGGCTAAAACATGCCAGACTAGACAGATTTGGCGGAACTCCAGCGCTGTTTCCTACAGCAAAGCTACCTTTAGAGATATGGGGACAAGCTTTCCTTTATGGAGCTACAGCACAGGGCTTTGTCCAGCAAGGTGCGATTGTCCAAGAGCTGGACAAAAGCACAGACCACACCTTTTTGTTGATGGGTGAAATTTTTCAAAATGTTGTGTGCTTTATGTGTGCTCAATAGATGATATCTTTACAGGATCATTGCCTTCAAAAAGATCTCTGAAAATTCAGCATCTGCTTTATAGCATTTTCAAGACACATCCTCACTAGCAGCTTTCAAACAGGGCTGCTGACAACATACACTATTTCCTCAGAAAATGGTAATCTTCAAGTACCTGTTGTGGGGTTTGTTGATTAAACACTAGATTACCAAAAGCTCACTACAATGAAATTTCACACATGTGGCATATGTGAGACACACAGGCCGGCTGTGATCCATTTCTGTTTGTTTATTTATGTTTTATTTTCCCATCAGATGCTACTCAGCTCTGTGGTGGTGAGAATAGGAAGAAGAATGATGGATACCACTTTTGTACAATATTATTCCTAGGGACCTCTGCTTAACATAGAAAAAGCCCCTGCTAAGTGTTACCTCCAACCTATCCATGATTTTTGCAGTTTGTATGATACCAGCACAAACAAAGCAGAAGACAGAGCTCCCAGGTTTCACAAGCAGTCCAGGGACTGACTCACTGTATCACTGTGGCTAAAACTATAAAATTTGGGTGTCTCAATGCACACACGCAAAAATAAGTGACTAAACACTTCCTGGTTCCTACTTTGCTGGAAGATATCGATATTTAATGGCTGCAAAGTGCTCTAACAGCCTAAGATGTAATTTTACTCAGGCATGCAATTGCCCATGTGCAGTACACATGCTAAGAGCACGACAGTGTGTTTCAGACAAAAACAATAAAATATTTTGTAGTCTGGCACAGGGCATGTTGTAGGACCAGCAGAATAATTATAGCAGCTGCAGTTGGCACTTATTAGAAAATTAAAGAAGCTGTTAACAGGTCATTAATAATCTGTGACTACCTGCCTTAATAGTATTCAGTCAACAGGCACGAAGGTGAGGGGGTGGAGGAAACACTCACACCTTCCTCTAAGTGACTGTAGTAGACCAATACCCTCATTTATCATCACTTTGTAATCTGCTTGTTTACTTCCTTCCTGGCGTCTCTTCCCACTGGCTCTTCTCACACTGCTGACTCTCACACCAAAGGACAGCAAGGCTCTTGGCCAGGGAAGCCACCTGCAATAGCCAGTCCCAGGGGAAAGCCAGCCCACTCTGCAGTGTCTCAGCCTGGTAGCTGTCTCCCTGCTCTCAGAGCTGCCTGTAAACACCTCTCCTGAGTGTATTGTCCTACTTTTCAAGACTATTCTGTATATAAGGTATCCCTGTCGACATACAGCACATTAGGATTTGTTCTCTTGTGTCTTGGTCCTTGCCTCCCTTGTGTAGGCAGATGGCTGGAAGAGGAGGGAAAAGCAACTTGTCCCCTGCTTCTTCAGACAAATACACACTCTCCAGAGCAGACAGATGCCCTAAAGTCAGATTGAGGGCATCAATTCGTCTTTTGGGTTCAGCTGTAGAGTACAAAACATTTGCTGGCTCTGGTCTAATGCTTTTTGACATCATCAGGCCCCCTTCAGTGAACCACTGCCTTGTAACCAACTTGACAGCAAGTATTGTTCTACATTTATTAATACTGTACATGTTATCTTCAAACTGACAGGTTCCAAGGCCAGGCATCAGCTGGGCTCAGCTCTGACTTAGAAAAAAAAAAAAAAATCAGACAATAGCACAGATCTCCTCCTGCTAATAAGTAAATAAATAAATAATAACATGCCTTCACCATGTTGCTGCCACATGGCTTTATCCTTTCAATCTCAATTTTGCAGTAATTTTTTCTTTTGCTTGAAGTCTTAAAATATGAAGTACCTGCTTCCCTGCACCCTCCTCCTCTTGGCTTCTTTAGGAAAAGACTTCTGGGTTTTTTTCCCTGAGTCTTCTTTTAATTTATTCCTTCCTTTCTCATTTGGATGCAAACCTATATTGCAGAAACTTGAGTCTACATAAAAGTTAATCAACTTCAGGAACTGTTTCTCTTCTCTTCTTTTCTCCTTTCTGTTTTTTGGTTTGTTTGTTTGGGTTTTGGTTTTTTTTTTTTTTTTGTTTTGTTTTGTTTTGTTTTGTTTTGTTTTGTTTTGTTTTGTTTTGTTTTGTTTTGTTTTGTTTTGTTTTGTTTTGTTTTGTTTTGTTTTGTTTTGTTTTGTTTTGTTTTGTTTTGTTTTGGTTTGGGTTTTTCTGTTTTGTTTTGTTTGTTTGTTTGTTTTTAACTAAAGCCACTATAATTTTCTATTATTTTTAAAATGTTCAGCTTAATGGGTTATGTTTACTTAGTCAGTAAGCTGATGATGCCCATGACAGGACAAGAAGTGTTTGGTTAGCAGCAGGGATAAAAAAAAATCAATAACTCCAAGCATTTGGCAGCTTTGTGGGCAGGAAATAATTTGTATTCTCTGGTTTAAATCAATGACCTTCTTTTCTTTGCTGTTCCAACAGGAAATTATAAACTCTGCGAACATTATTTGCATAGTGCCTTCTGCAATACACTTGTATATGCCTGGGAAAACAGTCTGTTAACCCTAGCAGTGCTCCTCTGAGCTCCCTGTGAAAGAAACCCAGGTACTTTAGCACAGAGCTTTTCAGCAGGCACTTGTATTCATTAGAAGCAGAAATAGTCTAGAGAAATATGTAAAAAGAGTTCCTCCTCCACTTCCAACAGCACCACCCTGTTTGATAACAGCATTGTCTACTGCAAGTAGTATGAAAAAATGCCTTCTTTGGTATTTTTGGCAATTTTAACTTGGCAAGATGTTGTATTTTCAGACAGAAACTTGCTAGTTCTACGTTAAAGTTGCATTTGCACCTCTGGACCTTGCTTGTCAGGGTTACCTTAATGTGCAAGTATGATTTGAAAGTGCTGCATTTTTGCTTGAATTCAGCATTACAAAATTCATGGTTTTGAAAGTTTCAGCCTCCTTGGTGCTGTCCTTTTGCAATGTTCACTAAAGAAGAAAAACAAATAGCTCCCTTGTCTTGCCATGCTTATGGGAAGCTGCACTAGGAAGGTGATCAAGAATAGAATCCAGTGTTTAACCTGGTACTGAACTTGCCTTCCAACTTTTTCAACTGCCCTACCCTGCATTAAGTCCAGTTCAGATATTTTTTTAACAGGTAGGAGAGCTGGCATGCAAGAAGACAAGCTAGTCACAGGAGATGGAGGAGGTGTGTGACCCTTTTTACTGTGTGAACAGTGTGAACACAGCGCAGCCCCAAAGTCTAGGATTCTTGCCTAGGGCCAGAGCTAAGTGTTGCAGCACCAGCACCTGGCACTATGTAGCTCCTGGACTTAAGCACTCCTTGATGTGCTTTGCTTCATCTTGCACAGGAGAATGATATGGTAAATCAGTCTGGAAAATGTGATTATAGTCCCAGAAACTACCAAGGTCTCAGTTGTCTGCACTGAAATCAAATGTCATAAAATTCAGGCATCCAGATTTCTCTGCTTTGCTTTTGTACATGGCGAGTCCTTTCACAGTAGTTCTTAACGTTCCTCCTGTGCTCCCAAAGCCCCTGGCACAAAGCTGTAGTCATCAGGTGACACTTGATGTATATTTATTTGTTACATCACAGTTCCCTCTCTGAAACAAAAAGGATGGGAATGTTTCTCAGAGTGACTGAAATGGAAGTAATATGCAATTCTTGCTCTCCTGCTTTGTTTCTATGAATTTGGCAGATGCAAAGTTGCCCATAAGCATTCCATTCCTTCCCACTGCAAACTCTATGCACTTATTGGGGTCTCTTCCAGATCTCCTGGCTGCTGGAACACCCTTTGCATTTCTGAAATTTGGTGCTCCTTACTGAAGGCAGCCAACCAAGAAAATGAGCTGCCTCCCCTTCTCCCTGACAAGAGACCAAAGCAGCATCATGTGTCACAGCAGGGCTGAGGTCAGAAGGGATCTCTGGAGGTCACTTTGTCCAGTATCCCTGCTCAAACGTGGTTGCCTACAGGTGGTTGTCTAGGATGATGTTCAGACAGCTTTTGAGTATCTCCAAGGATGGAGACTCCACAACCTCCCTGGGCAACCTGTGCCAGCTCCTTGTCAACCTCCTAGTGAAAAACCATTCCCTGCTGTTCAGACTGCATCTCTGCACAGCTTGTGCCCATCACCTCAGGTCCCATCCTTGGGCACTGCTGGACAGAACCTGGCTCCATCTTCTTCACATATTGACATACACTGATGAGATCATGTTTGCACCTCCTCTACCCTGAATAATTCCAGAAATTCCAGAAATAAATCACAGGATAAATTGGGTAGGTATTGCTCAATTTACTTTCTTCTATTAAGATGGTCATAAACAAATTTTCCTTTCTCTTCCTGTTGTTTTCCCACTTTCCTTTTTTAACTTATGCATACATCTTCTAAATGTCATGCTGTCACCTTTTTCCATTGAATACCATGTACCTGGAATCTTTTTATATCACAACAAGAAATGTTTAATCTGGAAAGGCATGCAAATAGAATAGCTCATGTGAGAAATATGAACTGGTTTGGTTAGTTTTAGGCTTTGGACTGATTTATGGCTGATTTATGCCTCCATGTGAATAAAACATAATCAGAAACTGTGGAGTGATACCACTGTATATACAAAGAGGAGAACTGCTCCTGTTACTCCTGGGAATGTATAGGCCATAGTCTAATTTTTAGAGGTTGTGAAAGGTGTGCTAAGTGACTAATTCATTTCGCTAATATCTGACAAGCCACTTTCATAATGGGAAAAATTACCTTCCTAGATAATTTGGTTTTTAACAACTTATCACAGTTGTTATTCTCCTACGGGTGCATATTTTCCACTATGCAAAAAACTGGCATGGAATAAAAATGTCGATAAACTAAAAACCTGCATTTATCTTTAAAACAGAAGTTTGTGGGTTGTTGGTTTTTTAATATGTGTAAAGTATGGTCTTTGATATTTTTGCTCAGAAGATAACCATGTGTTTCATGTGGCTTCTGTTTACAAAAAGGAAAATGTATTTTCTGGGGAAAATAAACTAGATTACACTGCAAGAAAAGGAGGTTTAATGTTTCAATATTCAAGAATGCTCAGATGGAAATTCAGGTCCATACCCCTTTACTGAATTTAGGACATGGATTTTTCAGTTGTGTCTGTCCTTAAATATACTGTTGTATTCATACTGAATTGCATGGGATTTGCTGTAGAAGTAAAAAGCAAGATTTTCTCTCTTTTGAGTCTAAAACCAGATAATGACTTTGCTGACTTCAGTAGAATAATTCTTTATTAATACCACTATAAGCAGGAGCAAAGTCAGATTAGGAATGTATTCCGAAGTGACAGTGCTCAGATGCATATTTAATCTTTGTTAAATGAAGCATTTGCAATAAAACGCACTATTCACTGCTCTTACTGTTCTCCTGGTAAATGCATTGTGAAACTGTTTTGTGGTAGCTGTCTCTAATCTTTTTTAATTTAGTAGTGAGGACTCTCAGTATCCAAAATGTTACTCTCCTCACGTGATGCCTCTTCAGTGTAAACCCAGTCCCATCTCCAAAATGGCAGAATTGGCTGACAGACCTACAGTTTACCAGTTTGGCTCCTCTGCCCGAATGTGGCACAGATGAGGGGCAATACTTCCTTTGCTGTCTTGGATATCTGGATCCATTAGACACACCCTCAAGTGTCTTATTTGTTCTTTTCCATTTATGTTGGCCATTCCTTTCTAACAGACCATTCTCCTCCACCCAAGACAAGCAGCTAGGGGAGCAAATGATTGAAAAGGCTTGGAAACACCTATAAGCATGGGATTTTCCCCTGGGCATGTTTTGTCTGAGTTGCTTTATGATGCAGAGGTCTTACTGGAAGAAAGAACTGGCCCTACAAGGTCTGGATACTTTGCTGAGATGAATAGTGGTTAGCATACATAATTTCCAGTACTGCTGGGGAAAGTAAGACGAAATCAGCCAATCATTTTGAGCTTATGCAACAAGCTGCACTCCTCTGACTGTGTTTTTTTTCCAGAATCTGCTTGTTAACTATGATGCAGTATGTGCCATTTGTGCTTCAGGGGACTAAGAGTCTAAGCCAGTTTATTGGTGAAAGCAACAACTTTCTCATTAAAGGTTAATGGCAATGTTTTGATTAGTCCCAGGGTTCTGGGAGGGAATTAAGTCCTTCCTTCAATAACCAGCAGTTACAGACGCAGCAAGTGTTAATAACCTCATAGGAAGCAAACTAGGCAGGCATACATTCCATCACTCAGAAAATGGATCTCATGTAGCTTTTTGAGGGACTGTTCACACTTAAAACCAAAAAACTGTTTGATTTTTAATACAGAGATTTGGGCTGTTTGCAGCACCCAAAGCTGCAGTCCCATGATATTGTTTCCCATTTCTCTCAGACCTGATGTTTAATGTACTCCCTTCCTTACAATTTAAAGCTTAAAATGTCATCTGGTTGAGGAGTGGAGAGGTGAAGAAATGCAAACAGGAGTAGCAACTGTTCTCACACTTTTAGCAACTGTGCTCAAATGTCAAAAGAATAAACATAAGAAATCATGAAAGATTTAAATAGCTTCATATCTGACATGAGCTTTTAAAGCCCCAAATGGACTTTTATAGGGAAACAAGAGTATGTATGTGGGTTTTGTGGGAACGGAAAAGGGCTTCACATGCGAGTGTGGCATGAGAGTTTTTCAAATGTTGGCCTAAAGGCTAACTGGAGCCTGGATTTCATCTCTGTGCCATATGAGAGCAGCCAGCTGCTCTGCTCCTCCTACCCCATCACTGCTGCCATCAAGTCTTAGCTGGGGGAAACTTTCTGTTAAATTGAGCGCAGAAAATGACAAGGAAAATCCAAATTGAGGCTTTTGAATGGTTTTAGTTAGTGATACAGTAACCTTAAGAGATACTTTAGAGATACTGTATCCCAGTTGAAGGTATGGGTTTGGGGTTTTTTTAAAAGGTTACTTTTGAAAGGTCTCTTTAGCTACATAGTAACCTTTCTAGAGACTGTGTCTTTAGGAATAGCGGTTTTTACTTTGATCAGTAACAAGTATGATCTTTGCATTTTTTTTTTCCCTCAGTAAAAAAAAAAGGTAAACTGAATAAAACCACTTATTCTGTTGAGTAACCGGTCAGCTTAGACGTCTGCTGCACTTTGCATTTTAGGAAATAAACTGAAGCTGCACAAAGAAATCTAGAGCCTTTGTCATGGCCAAGAAGCATGTCTGTTTTTTGAAGTGGGTAGGGCTTTCGCAGTGGATCTACTGCAGTTTGCCAGCCTCAGCACTGCTGTAACTCAGTAAGCTCTTGACATGCAGTGCAACTTCAGCACAGCACTAGGGGGTACTAACAAGACATCATTTACTGTAGTTTTAGCACAACAGGGAGAGATCTGGCAATATTAGTGACCTCTGCACATCATTGCGCTCTAGTGATTTTTTTCCTGACTTCATTTCAAACAGTTGTACGATGGGCTGATAACCATATTTTATACTCAGTCATGCTTGATGCAGTCTTGACTTACCTTATTTGGATTGAAGGTCAGTATCTATGACTTGATTTTCAGGCAGCTGAGGAAGCAGGGAGTGCTACTTGTCCTGTAAAGCACTCAGTGTTAACAACAGGCCTTTTGGTGCCACTCCTCTAAAACTGTGGTTCAAGATTGCTATCACTCAGCCTCAAACTGGCTAGAAAGCCCTCCTGACAGCTCTTATCCAGACTCCACCTAAAACAAAAGGGAAAATGCAGGAGTGGATATGTATCAGAGGCAGGGGAAGAATATTCAAACATTCCTAAGGATTCAACATGGTCACTCAACCTCCCATTCCAAGACAGTCAGTCCTTCTGCCTTAGTTTCTTTACAACCAATTTGCAGTAAAGAGAGAAGCTGATTCATGATATTTTGACATGACAGCAGTGCCATCAAAAACACTAAGGATCTCCTGCAGCCTTCTCAAGCCTTATTCATAAAACCTTATGAAAATAACCACACACTCTTTTGCATGAAACCATGCCTGCTGGCTGCCTGAATGGTGCTAACAGTATTTGTAAAAGGCAGGTAGCAGACCATGTATGTCAGCCCTATAACTAAATATAATTTTCATAATAGACATTCTTCCTATACAGTTCTTCCTCTGTTTGTAATGATGAATAAATCCACAACAATCCATGAGCTGGGATTTCTTGTTTAGCAGTTTACTCAACTTTTATGGACTAACCTACCTGAAAATGGCACTCCTAATGACACTTTGTGTGTATCAGTCTTTGCACATGCAGTATTTTGCTCTATAATTACCACAAGGAACAAAATAGAGGAACCAGTGATTTTTAAGGTCTCAGTCTGCAACCAAGACCTTAAAATTTGTAAGCTGTGTAAGAAGTAGAGTAAGAACACCTGATATGCTCCAGATCTGGGCCTTTTGTAGTCTCCAAGGCTGACACAGAGCATAATTCCCTGCAGCCTTTCCCCTGCAGAGAAGATCTAGATGTTCTCCAATATCCAGCCACGTGCTGCCACAAAATTCTAATATTTTCATTATCTCTAAGGCCCTGTGTGTCTCTGTCAGGTTGGTTGTAACAGAGAGGGAGGTTCCCAAATTTTATGTATACAGCTGTGGATATGCGCAGAACACGTGTGTTGAGAACAGTCATTTATGCAGGAAACCTGGGTGAAATATGAGCAAGTCAGTCAATAAAAAGTTGGGCAATTCTCAAGACAGCAGTTAAAAGATTGATAAACATTAGCAAAAGTCTATGAATGGGACTGAGCACTTGCTACAGAACTGTGTACCATGGCATCCCAACAGCAGCCTCTTGAGTACTGCCAGCCTGCATGGGTTAATCTTAGAGTATCACCAAGAACAGCCTCAACAGAAACAAGGCTTTCATTCAGTGGTCACTCAACCTTAATTAAAAGGACACTTCTCAATTAAACTTCAATGACATCTTCTGAAAAGAAGTTTTACACCTACTATATTTCTTTTGGACAAAACAGTCTGCTCAGCTGTATTCCCAGCTGTACACTCTGTTTCTCCCAGCTTGCTGGCATCCACAGCTGTTTAGAAAGAAACTTTGTTATGTCAACTGCTAGGATTTTCTACAGTACATATTGCATCACCTTTCCTGAGAAACTTGTTTGAGCAGATCCCTTTTCTTACTTTCTTGTTTCATAATGTCCTTCACATTCCTCTTTCAATATTTGTTGTTCTCTCTGTGGAAGCTCAGTTGCTGGCATTTTAAGGAAAGGTTACATAGCAAAAAGGTCATTAATTGAGGTTTTTTTCTCCCTGCCCCATACTCCTGGAGAGAAGCTCTCTGTGTGTGGCACCTTTAGAGAAACTTTTCCCTTAAGAAAAATCTACAGCATTGACTGCCAGTTTCAGAACAAGAAAATAAATTTGGAGCATAAATTACCTTGGCCATTTTAATTCTAAAGGTGAAGAAATAAGGAGAAGGGCAAGCAAGAGACAAAACCAAATTATGCTGTGGTGCAAGTAAACAGTGAGATCCCTAAATTTCATCCTCATCCCTGATACTTGGGTGACTGTGCCTCTGATCAATTTGCTGTGCCTCTGCTTAATTCTTGTTGAGTCTTGGTCCTTATGAAACAGCCCTGGAAAGCAACAGTCATACATCTTTCAAAATGCCCTCAACATAAAGATATACCAATTGAATTTTGATCTGGAGACAGCTGAACATATTGGGGGCCTTCAATTCAGATCCAAAGCCTTCAAAGTAGGCAAGGTAAGAACAAAGTGTGTTAAGTCTGGGGACAGGATTTGGAATAAGCTGCAAATGAAGCATAGGAAAAAAGAAAAGATAGACATTTCTAACCTTAGGTGTATAAATTTCAGTGGCTTAATGCACATGCTCACTAGTGGGAATACATGCACACAGACATGTGAGCTGGCACGGGAGCTGGCTGCTTGCTGTTTATTGATGCAGGCTCTTGTACAGCCCCTCCTTGCAGCACGGGGTGTGTGCGGGGGACACACACAGCCTGGTGTAGAGCTTCAGCTCAGAAACATGGTAAGGATGCTTATTTTGGCTACTGCTAAGTGGCTGAACATGAAGTTGGGAGGTATCTTTTATACAAATGCAGCTCTTTCTTCTAAAAACAGTGGCTCCCACATGATCTTCTTGAATAGTTTGAGTTTTTCTATATAAACAATGGAGAAGGAAATCTGATTTCCAGTCTAGGAAAGGAAACACAGCTAAGTGAACACTGTTAGCAAGGGCAAGCATATTGTATCTGCGTGTTCGAGAACCCACTGAGTTGAACAAAATCTTTTCATCAGCTGCAATAGTCTTTATTATACTCCATTTGAATGACCTGTTTAGTATTAAACATCTTGAAAGACACACTGCTTTTAATACCAAAGCATTTTCCATTCCATTTGCTTCACTTTAGCAAAATGCTAAATGATCTGAATGATCTGTGTCATGTTTAATGTGAAGTGTAACTGAAGCACCCTGAATCCTGCAGAAATGCTTTGTGGACTTGTGTTTTTTAAGTGATCTCTGAAAAATCAACATTAAAAAACACTAGCAAGCTATTTTGAACAACCAAGCATAAATTTAGTACAAATAAGCCTTCATCTTTACTGGAAAACCTTTAAAGAGGTCATAAAAGCAAACAAACAAAAGAATTCAAAACCACTGTGCTTCAACAGCAAAATCGTCTAAAATTTAGCTTAATATTTTTAGGATCAAGAGCCTGGACAGATAACTAAAGCAAATGGATAATAAAATAGCCAAGCACTGGTATGCAGTTAATGTATCAGCATACTGATGATGGTATATAAACAATGCTAAAAGAACAGGAAAATTATTAAAGCAGAAGACAATACTTCATTTACTGTTCTGCTGGAATTCCTGCTCAGGAAGTCACTAATACACATTCTTTATGAATAGTAGAAGTGAGTACAGGCAGGAACTTGCCTGTTACCCAAATGAGTGTGACTAGTGCTGAATGAGTCTTTTACTAATCTTTTTTAGAGCCTGAACTTCACTTCCAGAAAAGTAAGATTACTTGCGAGGTTCCATTTTTCCACTTAAATGCAGAATCAGACACATAGGGTTCTTCCAAGAAGTCTTTGGGTTTTAGTTTCTTCTGAGCAAAAAGAATATCAGAGTAACAAAGCACAAAGAACCTGCTTTGTACCTGGTTAGCCAACCTCCCAGTATGTTGGTATGGGAATTTTATTCTCTTTTCTGGAAGAAAGGAAAGAAGAGGGGGGAAAAAACCCCAAAGAAAACTAGTCCAAAGCAGTATTCTGTTCTTGTTCCAGTTGATCTGTTCAGTATCTTGTCCCTGGCCTTTGCAAGACCATGAAAGACTTCTGCATATGAAAAACATCACCCTCCCATGGTACAGCGGGACCCCCCATACTCCTTTTTACAAAAATCACTCACAAGACTACAAGTGCTTTCCCACGTTTCCTGTCTTAGGAGTCTCAGGTGAAGAGACAGCTGCATCATGCCAACCTATTGGGAAACATTAGACATGAGGTGTGTCTTCCAAAAGGTCTGAATCAGGATTGCAGTGCCCAAATAAGATGCCTAAAGTAGGGAGGCGGTCTCAATCCAGACTACCCTTTCCCCTTCCTGGAATGCTGAAGTTGCTGATCTTCCCAACTTGCCTTTTCAGTTGCTAAGGATTTCTGTTAGAAAGAGGTGATACAGCAACTCAGTTTTTACAGCACCAAAAAATGCTGCAATGAGAGATTCAGCTAATGGTACTGAGGAGCACTTCTGTCACATACAGAAGCCCTGTGTAGGATGGGCTGCTGTCACAGGTACATCAGCTGGCTTAGTAACAGACTGAAAGCTATGGCTTCTACAGAGAAAAGGCAGATTCATGACAAACCAAGGGATGTGACATAGGAAGGGAACTTCTCCTTCCATTTTTACGCCTTCCTCCCTCCATATTTTATTCCTTGTCCTCCCACCCTATTGCAAAAATCCAAAATGGTCATGTTATAGCTACAGACCATGCCAAAGACTTGTCTCCTCTCTCTCTCTCTCTCTCTGTATGAGTTAATCATTCCCAGCAAGCTTTCTGGGTTGATGAGTCAGTAACACAAAGAAATGACAGATTAGATGTGATATTTATTTCACTCTGCTTTTTTTTTAAGCACAGCTGTCCCCCCCCACCTGAAAGAATGGAGGAAGCAGTAATCAAATGCACTGTAGCTGGGAGCTCTAAGGATAACACCCCCAAACTCTGCAGCTTTCCATAAAAGGCTTGCAGTTTTGATATTCTTTTTGCTGTATGTTACTCAGCAACACTGTTTTAGAAGTTGCAACATTCATCTTTAAACATTAATTACCAAGGCATGATTGCTTCAAAAATCCACTGCCCGAGGCCAGGGCCTAGGAAGTGGAAAATGTAATTTCAGAAAGCGATGAGAACAAATGCTGAGCCTTTTAATTGCAGGTTGGTACAGATGACTAACAGTAAAGCAAAGCTCATTTTGGACAAATTTGTTGTTTTGCACGTCAAATTCAAAACTTAGAAGCGAGTTGCCTGGGGTTTGTTCTTTCCCCCTATTCACTTTGTAAAAGTCAAGAAACAGACACATTTTTGAGGTAGAGGAAGTAGTTTTCTAAAAATTCAGTAAAAAATATTTACAAGAGAGAAAGAGAGAGCGGAAGCAAGGAAGAAAGAAAAGCAGGGAGAAAAGAAAGACTAAATGATGTAAGCAAAGTCAGGCAATAGTTGCA